CCTTCAGCTCACGTCACGATCCTGGGGTCCTAGGATCAAGCTCCACATCCAGCTCTCTGTTCAGTGGGGAGCCTGCTTCTCCCTGTGCCCATCTTCCCTACTCGGGATCTCTCTCCCTCTCAAATAAATAAATAAAGTCTTTAAAAAATAATAATAAAAAATACTTTCCACGCAACATCTAGACTAGTATTTTACCCAACACATGGATACCACAGCCTAGCCAAGTTGTCACACACACATACACACATACACACACAAATTCTGGCAAAATTTGAGCCCAGAGAAGCCAAATGATGGCACTTCCATTAAAGCTCATCAGACTTACTGAAGCTCATCATTCCCTTATAAACCTTTTCCATGGTGAGATAGTTGAAGTCATCATAGCCCATTTTTCATTTCATATAAAAGTGGTCTTAGGAATTGCTTAGATTTTAAATAACCTGTTTTTTTGTACCACCATGAATATAAACCAATTGTCCAAGATAGCCCAAGGGAAATAGTAATTACCCAGAGAAGAAAAGCTAGGTCCTGGCTAGCCAAGCAACAGTGATTGATTATAAGCAAGGAGGCCTGGACAGGCTATGGGGCAAGGTGCCCTGAGCAATAGCAGGGAGGTGGGCAATGTATCCCAGCAGCCAGGCAGAGGACCAAGAATAGGAGAGATCTGTATATTCAAAAATGCATTGCAGGAACAACAAAGAACAAGCTGAGGAAAAGTGTGATTACGCCCCAATGCCCTTCTAGGTTCTTAATCTCAAGCCACCAGGAACTCAGGCTGGCACATTTGTCCCCAGACAACAGTGACCAACAGGGGTGACAGGGAAAGGGGAAATAAAGGTGCCTTAAACACTCTGCATGCGCTATTTTACTGCACCAATCCACTCTTTGGGGGGTTTTGGTTGTTTCTAATTCTTAATCATCTAAGCAAATCTGGGAATTCTTTTCACTGGATTCTTCCATATATCCATGCCGATTTGCTTACCATACGTTTTTAGAAGTGGGAATACCTGGATAAAAGAGGGCACCTTTTTCTGCTTTTGATGTATGGCATCTAAACCCAAGATACAATCATACCTCACTGCCAGGGCACTTCCCAGAGGTCTGTGAGAAATCACTTGACCATCTCTCCGTTCCTCGTTGCCTTGTTTAATTCCTCATCCCTTGCTACAACTCATTGTGAGGAAGTTGAAGTAAGCTAAGTGTACGTTTGTGGGAGGTGTTGAAATAGTGGAAACTTTAGCGTAAGAACAAAGAGAAAGGGAATGGGCTGGAAAGGGTGTAGGGTATAAAGGGAGTTGCCCAGCAAGCAAAGTCCTCCTTCCATTCGCACCAGAGATATGCCTCCTCTTTCAACATGATGCTCAAGGTATTGTCACATCTTCTGTAGCTGATTTACATTGGTTTTCTAGCTTACTTCTCCTTTTCTCAGTGTCCTTAGCGCTTTCTGCTTCTTCTTCAAAACTGGCATTTGAGCATTTCTCATAGCTTCTGGGCTATCTAATTTACCTGCATCTGGTTTTTCATTGGTGTTTTACCAGTAAGAGACATGATTCTGTTGTATAGAATTAGGAAGAAAATGAATCATTACTAGTTCATTGAATTTTAACCTCCCAGTTTTATCTGTGCCCACTATGCCACGGCCAGATTGCCTTTCTAATGATCTGTTTACTGTCCTTAGGTCCCTGGAAAAGATACTCTTTTTGTTGCAGGGATCATAACACCTTGGTTTGGTATTCTAGAGAACTTAGCCCAGTGGCAAGAGCTCGTGAAATGTTTATCAAGTGGCTGATGTTTTGCCTTAATTTATACACTGATAACAATATTTTACTAAAAAGAGTTGTAAATGCCATGAAAAAATCAAGAAGACCAAAAAAATATTTTAGAAATAGATGGGCTCAATCATACAAACAGCTGAGCCATTGCATGTTTATGTTCTCAAGTTCCTTTCCTCAGGAGCCATTTCTTTGGGATACAGTTGCCATCCAGGACTTGTCAGGAGATCTCCCCAGGGGGCTCTACCTCCATAGGCCACTAGCACCATGGGATCATACAAATGGATACCACAATCACCTTCCAGGATCCATGTTGGTGCCTTGACAACACATGGTCCCCAGGCATACATGTGTCCCCCATAAGCCTCTTCCAGGTCAGATTGAACCCTGAAGAGATGAGCAACCAATCACTAAATGCCCTCAACCATTTAGCTGTGGGGATGGAAAGGGAGCTGTGAGGATGGAAAGGGAGCTTGAAAATAGGTCACTTTGCTTAGAACAAGGTATCCAACCTGTTCTCAAAACTCTAAGTTTTACTTGGTGGATCATGGAGCCAGTGCTTTTTCCTCCTTCTCTGCCTCTGTTCCTAAATATGTTTACCCAAATTTCTAGCAGCATGATAATCAAAGTGATTGTTATTCTCCATCCTAATTAGAAATATCTGTGCCAGCACCCTCTCTCTCCCATCCATCTTCTCTCCTGCTCTCTCTCCTCATCTTTCTACCAAAGTGTCAGAGACCTACAACGTAGCCCATCCTTTTGAAAATGGCATGGTTTCTGTGGCTTGGTCATCTGAAGACTGGAAATAGGGGACTAGCTGGTGTCCAGGTTGAGGACTGCCAGCTGGGCCTCGGTTTCATCTCTGTACCTCTGCCCAGGAACTGATCTTAGCATCAGGGAACTCTAGACACCCTAGATACTCTAATTCAAAAAAACCCTCACCCTAAAGCTAATGTTTTAAAATGATGTATCTGATGCTCAGAGAGGTAAAGAAAGTTGTACAATAATGCAGTCATCAGAGTAGAAAAGGGGAACAAGCTGACATTTATTAAGTGGTGCTAAGTGCTAGGCATGTAGTGAAACACAATGTAAGGGTGGGCGTTTTTAGCTATACATAAGAGATGTTCTCTTGAGAAGACAGGTAGAAAACAAAATAATTGCCTATACATTGATGAACTTGATATTTAAAGGCATTGCAAAGCACTCTGCTGCTTCTGATATGCAAATAATCCTGTAGGTTTTATTATCCGGTTCGTGGGTGGCAGCAGAATTGTCTTCTCCCCTAGGGTGACCACAGGTACTTCATATTCAGCAAGTTCACAGACAGCCCCTCATCATTGTCCAGACAGCTGTCCTTCCTTCAGTGCTTCCCTTCTTGGCAGATGGCACCGTCAAATCCCCACCCAGAACCTGGACTACCACACCAGTCTCTTACCTGCCTTTGTCTACGCCTCTCAACACATTCTCTACACTAGGGCCAACTGAGATCTTTGCAAAACACAGTTCTGATAGACCTTTTGAAAGGCAGCACTATGGCTCCCCTTTGACATCACAGTCTTCAGCCTAGTGGAACTGCCACTCAGTCCTAGCCTACAAATCCCTCTCACCTCCACCTGGTAGGCAGCTCTACAGCTGGACTTTGCCTAAATCACTGCGTCTCTCACACCTCCAAGTCCCAGGCCATGCTGCCACCTCTGCCTTTAGCCTTCCTCCTTGTCCCAGGCACCTTCACCTGCTGACTCCCATAAGTCTCCACAACCAGCCTAGGTATTGATGCCTCCACATGATCACTGACAAGAACCATCAGGAAGTGGTTCTCAAGTGTAATTTTAAATTTTCTAGTGGCCAAATCTTAAAAAGAAGAAGCTGATGAAATTAGTTATGATATTATATTTGAATTACCAATATATCTCTTTTTTAAAGATGTTATTTATTTATTCATGAGAGACACACAGAGAGAGGCAGAGACTTAGGCAGAAGGAGAAGCAGGCTCCACGCAGGGAGCCTGATGTGGGACTCCATGATCACGCCCTGAGCCAAAGGCAGATGCTCAACCACTGAGTCATCCTGGTGTCCCGAATTACCAATATATCCTAAATACTGTCATCTTAGTGTGTAATCAATATTTTAGAATTATTAATGAGATGCTCTATGTTCTTTTTTTCCTACTAAGTCTTCAAAATCCAGTGTTTATTTTACTCGTATGATGCATCCTAGTTTGGACTAGCGACATTTCAAAGGCTCAATAGCCAAGGTGGAGAGTAGCTACCACGTTGGACATGATGGCACTAGAATATTTAAGAAACACCTAAAGATCTTAATGAAAACACAGAATCCTGTGCTGTGCTTCCAAAGTTTCTGGTCCATTTAGGGGATGGGAGGGTAGTCTAATTCTGGAAGTCTGGCGTAGAGACCAGAAATGTTCATTTTCAACAAGAACCCCAGGTATTTCAATGTCTGTTTTCTCTTTAGGAAATGTAGCTTAATAACTTCGTGCACCAGTTTGGAGTTAGAACCATAGGAATTTGTGTCCAAGCCCTACCATTTAAGAGTTGTGTAATGTAGGGGTACCTGGGTGGTTCAGGCCGTTAAGCGGTTAAGTGTCTGCCTTTGGCTTAGGTCATGATCCCAGAGTCCTGGGATGGAGCCCCACATTGGGCTCCATGTTCAGCAGGGAATCTGCTTCTCCCTCTCTCTCACCATAACTCCCCCTGCTTATGCTCTCTCACTCTCTGTCAAATAAATAAACAACCTTAAAAAAAAAAAAAGAGCTGTGTAACTTAGTGACATCAAGTATGGATGCCCTCACCTGCAAAGGGAGATGACACTCATAACACTCAGAAACTTGTGGCATTCAATGCATACCGTATTTATAACAGCATGGCACCTGGCACTTATCTAATAATGGTACCTCAGGTGGATGCATCGCCCCCAGGCACACCCACTTTATGGACAAGATGTACCTCCCATCTTCTGCTAACACTGTGCTTCCCTGCACCATTGCACACCCACTCTGTGGCCATCACCTGTATGTTGGTCTGTGTCCTCAACTTGGGACAGAAACTGGCTTTTGGGCATTTCCACATCTCTTTACTTCATGCACAGCAAGGGCTCCATACTCATCATTTCTCAGGAATTGAGCTTATGTGATCAACAGGGTTTCCCCTAATGGAGCAAAACTCTTCACATAAAAGTACCTCAAGCTCTTGTATAGTAAGGAATAAGTAAATGCAAAGTGAGTATTGCACTGTTCTAACACTGTTCCCTTTAAAGTCTGTCACAGAAAGCTTTGCCAGAGTGATTCATGGCTTGACTGTGGGGCACCTGACAGATCACGTTATTCAAAGAAGCAAGAGAATGATTCTAGATACTCTGGGCGTTGGCTTCCTGGGAACCAGTACAGAAGTGTTTCACAAAGCCAGTGAATATAGTAAGGTAAGAAGCTCAGTGTCTACTTTAGAGATAAAGCCAAATGCCTCAGGTATACCCACCAATGTGCCCAGAGACATGTGTTTATGTTCCATTATTCTACTCTTTGTTTTAGAGATAGTATTTGGTGTATATAGAATTGTTGTATATGGTTTTATGCTCTATTTATGATTTTTAATATTCATCCATATTCTTAATAAAGACCAATATTAAGACTAGATTTAGCACTAGTAATATCTCATCATTTATTATTATGACTTAAAGCACTTTCTACCTGAGAGCCCTAGAAGCAATAGCAAACTACTCCAATAGCATCTGACATTTATTCATGCAAAGGCTTTAAGAATCTCTGGAGAACAAGCTGGTTCAGCACTCTGAGCAAAATGGGTGTGTATGTGGGAGATGCAACACCCACTCTCCAAAGGATGTACCTGGTGCACACAATTAGTCCACCTTCCCTGGTGTTAACCCTCAACGAATAAATAAGAATAAATTCAGACTCCATCCCCGGGCTCTTCTCTGGATCATAGTGTAAGACAGAGAAACAGCATCTCCTCTCCCTTCTGCGGAAAAAGGTGTGTATTCTTCTACAAGGAAGAGAGGAATGCAATGGTTAAGGCTGTGATCTAGCACAAAGTGTTCAAATAAGAACTACTAAAGTAATGCCTCCAAAAATGAGGAATGAGACTTGGCATGTCATGTTTCTACCCAGTATCGCTGATTGATATTCTCTTGTTCCAGATCTACAATTCCAACGTGTCCAGCAGTGTTTGGGGTCAATCAGACTTAAGGCTTCCGCCACCATATGCTGCTTTTATGAACGGCGTGGCTGTAAGGAGGTTTACATATCTTTTCAACTGTTAGACAATAATAATTTCAGAGCAAGGAAATATCTCAGAAATCATTCTGTTTCCATATTTCATGGATGAGTCATTGCAGTTCAGAGATGAAGTGGTCTGCCCTCTCTTCTATGTAGTTATTCCCTTTTCATGTTTTGAACTGATGCTTTTCAAACAAATTGTCAGGTACAGGAAAGAAGATGGAAGATTTAGATAAAAGCATTCTAAGGCATCTAAACTTTGAATGTATATAGCAAAAAATATAAAACCCGATATCCAGACTCAGTTCCTTTTCTTGTGATCAGTACCAGTTTCTATTCAATAATTAGCTTTTCATCCAACCATTCATTCACTAGATATTGAGAAAGAAAAGAAACAATGGCCATATGGTATCTATATTTTCTGAAGCACAAATCAGCACTTTTTATCTGACAATTTTTTGCTTTGTGTGTCAGCAGCAGTCTATATCTATACACAAATGTAATTTAGACATGAGTATGTTGGGATTTCTGAGATATTTTTATGGCTTGTGGGACAGTAGCTCAGAACATTGAAAGTCAAACCCAATAAGGAATCCAGGGGTAAATGTCCAGTGTCCAGACTAGCCACATCCAATAGATACAAAATTCTAATTTTAAGTGGACTTCTCATTATATAAGGGATAAGCAAATGGCTAAGATGAAGAAGAATAAGACATTATGGTAGATAATATTGATTTTTAAAACATAGCTTAATAGTTAATCTGGGTTTATGAGTTCCTGCAAGGTCCCTGTAAGTTTGATATTATTTCATAATAAAAAGGTACAAAAATATATCGCCTGATATGGAATAAATGACATTAAACTTTTAGTGCAACTTGTTTGAAGGGTGGGGGGAAGGAGAGAGGAATAGGCACCTAAATTTCACAGCTTTATTTTTAAGGAGGATGTAGCTCTTTCCAGGGGCTGTGGCAGAGAGTTCTGGCCACCTGGGTAAGATCCAAGTTCACTGGGGTTCTCTAGCTGCTCCTCAAAGTCCTGTCTGCTCTGGGCAGAGGACAGCATGTCCAGTGCCCAGCCATGTGATTAAGAATTACAGCCAGTGTATAGGTTTTATTTTCAGATAATAAGATCTTAAAATCTCATATCAAAAAAGTAATTACTAAACTAAAATCTTCTTGGTCATTGCATTCAGGTAAATACTTTTTTTGGTTTTGGTTTGTTGGTTGTGTGTCTGTTTACATAGATTCACTCAATGGATTTTGATGACACATGGCATCCTGCCACCCACCCTTCTGGAGCTGTCCTTCCTGTCCTCACGGCCCTATCCGAAGCTCTCCCTTCAAGTCAAAAGTTTTCTGGCCTTGATCTGCTGCTGGCTTTCAATGTTGGGATTGAAATACAAGGCCGATTAATGCATTTCTCCAAGGAAGCCAGTGACATACCAAAGAGGTATGGAGAGAATCTGCCCCATCCAGAGGCAGACACATTCCCCCTTCCCCTGTTAGAAATTATTAACTCTGTAGAGCCTTCTGACATAGAAGTTAGCTCAGTTGAAAATGTTAATATTCGTGCTGACAGCTAAGTCAATTTTCCAGTCGCATTATCAAACCATATACTCATACACAAAGGTGTGACTTCAGAAGTACTGATGAAAAATCTCCTTCGGGTTAAGAGAATCAAGCAACCATGACCATAAAACAAATGGCGGTCTCTCAGCCTAGGGTGATCCACATCATTTTGGTATTGATGGGTACTCTGAATATTCCTAATCCCATCTCAAGGCAGAATCTACTTTGGTATTTCCTAAGGTCCTTCAGACTGAGAACTTTCAGAAGATCTTGAACCTGACTGTTTACTCCTTAATCAAAAATGGTCACATGTTGGCTATGTCATGTAGTTCAACCCTGTATTTATTTTTCCACTCCATCCAGCCTGCTAGGAGAGTATACTGGAATACTGAGTGAATTTTCAGTTTCTACAAGGCCCTCCATTTTTAAAGCTACTCACATGGAATTTCAGCAAGCAGCAACTTTTGCCTTTCTGATAATAATTATTAAAAACTCACTGTGTCAAGCACTACTGTAAGCATGTAAATTCATGCAAAAGTCACAAAACCTTCTAAGATGCATATTATGATTATCACCATTTTATGGGAGATGAAATGGGTACAAAGAAGTTGAATGACTTTCCTAAGATCACACAGCTAGTAAGTGGCAGAGTTGAGATCTGAACCCAGGAAGCAGGCCTGTGGTATCTACACTCTCATCTCTCTACTACAACTGCCTCCCGGTGACAGGTCTGTAACTCTCCAACTCTTTGTTTGTTTTTTTTTTTTTTTTTTTTTTTTACTTTTCAGATTCCACCCCCCCTCCGTGGTAGGAACTTTGGGCAGTGCGGCTGCTGCATCCAAGTTTTTAGGGCTCAGCATGCCAGAGTGCCAAGAGGCCCTGGCTATTGCTGTTTCTCATGCCGGGGCACCCATGGCAAATGCTGCCACTCAGACCAAGCCTCTTCATATGGGAAATGCTGCCAAGCACGGGATGGAAGCTGCTTTTCTGGCGATGCTGGGTCTTCAAGGAAACAAGCAAGTCTTGGACATGCAGACAGGCTTTGGGGCCTTCTATGCCAACTATTCCCCCAAAGTTCTTCCAAACCTGGAGTCCCACACTTGGCTGCTGGGCCAGCAGGATGTGGCCTTCAAGAGGTTCCCTGCACATCTGGCCACCCACTGGGTGGCAGACGCTGCTGCATCTGTCAGAAAGCACCTTGTCACAGACAGAGCCCCACTTCCCACTGACCACATTGAGAAAATTGTGCTCAGAATCCCAGATGTGCAGTATGTAAACAGACCCTTCCCAGACTCAGAGCATGAAGCTCGTCACTCTTTCCAATATGTGGCCTGTGCCACACTGCTTGATGGTCATGTCACTGTCCCATCATTCCACAAGAGCCAGATCAGCAGGCCACAGGTGAGAGAACTGCTAAGTAAGGTGAAGATGGAGCACCCTGGGGACAACTTGCCGAGCTTCAACACACTCTACTGCGAGGTCAGTGTCACTCTCAGTGATGGTGCCACTTTCACAGAGTGCTCTGATACCTTCTATGGCCACTGGAGGAAGCCACTGAGCCAGGAGGACCTGCGGGAGAAGTTCAGAGCCAACGCCTCCAGCATGCTGTCCTGTGACAGAGTAGAAAGACTTATAGAGATTGTAGAGAATCTAGAAGACCTAGGAGATTGTTCTGTGCTAACCACACTTCTGAAAGGACCCCCACCACCAGTGATGGCTTCAAAATCTATCTAGCATTTTAACAATTCCATCGTACGGTTTCTCCTGAGTTTTATCAATATCTAAGTGACTTTATATTAGGGGAGATTTTAGTGATTTACTTTATAAAGCAAGGATTTACTGTTGGTCTGCCCAGGAATAAGGGAAGCCAGGTGAAGAGGGATTTCAGAAACAGAAATGGATTTTTATGGAAGGAGTCTTGTCCTTTTGTAAGACAGTTCCAATTATCTGAAGCAAAATAATAAATATGCAAGAAACACAGAGAAATTGTTTTTATAAGCATTTAGAAGGCTGAAATTCAAGCCACCTGTAATTTGCTTGTAAAGTTAATCTTTACAGATTAGCCCTTTATAAATTTCATAAACCTCAAGGTGTAGGAGGAATTTGAACCTACATGTAAATTTCCCGACAGTGGAGAAGGCCTCTGGCCTGTTGTACCACCAAAAGATTTCTTAGACCATGGGTTTTTTTTTTATAAGCCCTCTACAGCGGAGAGGGTGCTACTGGATTTAAATATAGGGAGTTAGTGGGTCCAAATCCTGCCACTGCAACTTGCCAAATGTGACTAGGCATGTTACTGGATAGCCCTCTGCCTCAGTTTCCTAGGCATGTTACTGGATAGCCCTCTGCCTCAGTTTCTCTATTGATAAAGGAGAAATAAAAAGCAGTATAAAAAGTAAAAGCAGTTTGGCTCTGGAAGCCATACTGTTAACCACTACAATATACTGCATTTTATTACAAAAATTTCTTGGGAAAAATGATCATGAATGAAGAGTATGAGATAGAATTCAGGATGACAGAAAAAAAAGCATATGTAATTCAGTAACTATTGATTTTGTAAAATAATAAAAATGTTTTATGGGGTTAAAAATTACAACTTTAGCAATAGATACAAGCAGGGAGTTATTATAGTGAGTGTGTTCTAAATTCCTTGTGTCATTTGAGAAAAGGGCAAAGCTATTAATTCTAGACTTTGATTTCTAAGTATGCATGTTGACATTTTCAGGGTAACTATTATAAGACAGCAGTAGAACATATCACTTCCAGGTTAATGGGAAATGAGAAATATGGAATTAGGAAAAAAAATAATCCAAAGAAAAGCAAGAAAGGAGGAGAAAAAGAAATATGAAAAAAGATAGACTATACAGAAAACACAACAGGAAAAAAGTCCTAATACATCTAAAATTACAAAAAGAATAAATGGACTAAATACTCCAGTTAAAAAATACAAAATGTTGATAGGCAGTAGACTGTTTCCAGTTTGGATCTATTACCAATTATGCTTCTACAATCATTCACGTGCATGTCTTGGGGCGGACATCTCTCCATTTCCCTTAGGTAGGTCTAGGAGTTGGAATGCTAGGTCATTTAGTCAGTAATGTTTAACTTTATTAAAAAATTCTCCAAAGTAGCTCTATCACATTACATTTCTACCAGTAATGTTTGAGGGTTCCAGTTTCTTCATATCCTTGCCAACCCATGGAATTTTCAGTCTTTTTTATTTTAGCCTGTTTAGTGAGCATGTAATGGTATCTTGTGGTTTCAGTTTGCATTTTCCAAATGACTAATTCCTGCCTACTTTGGACAGCTATTTTAATTAGGTTGTGTTCTTATCAAGTTGTAGGAATTCTTTATAGATCCTAGGTGTAAGTTCTTTATCAGATGTATGTTTTACAAATATTTTCCCTCACTCTGTGATTTGTCTTTTCATGTTTTTAGTGGTCTCTTTTTAAGAGCAAAAGTTTTAAATTTTTATCAACTCCGTTTAACCATTTAAAAAAATTTATTAAAAAATATGGAAAATAAAAATAAAGAATATTACTGCTCCTGCTTTTGGTGTCATCAGAAGGCTTTTTAAAAATCCAGTTAAATAAGTTATTCAAGACTCATAAAGATGCAGAGAAGTTAGAAGTAAAAAGATAAGGGAAATATGGATGGAATACTAGCAAAAGTAAGCTGGAATAGATAAATGTTAATGTTAGACAAAACAGACTCAAGCCAAAAGCATTACTGAAAATAAAGAAGATGACTACACAATGAAAAAAATTCAAATCAGCAGGTAATTAAAATAATTCTAAATAATATTGAACTACAAGAAGAAACAAATGAATCCAATATCATACTGAGAGAATTTTAACACCTATCTCTTAGTAACTGATATTTCAAGGAAAGCAAATATAAATAAATTATATGAAGATTTAAACACAATCAACATGTTTTATCTGAAGGACATATAGAGAATTTTGTACCAAAAGAATTCACAATCCTTTAAAACAGAACATTTACAAAAAGGACCATATACTGAGGTATAAAAAGCAAGTCTTAACTTTTCAAAGGGCTGGAAGATACAGATCATTCTCTCCAATCATAATGGAACGAAGTTTAAACCCAATATTTAAAAAAAGAGAGAATTAGAAAAGCTTGAAATGTTTGGAAATAAAAATTCCTTGAAGTAACTTTTGGGTCACAGAAGAAATTGTCATAAAAATTATAAAACATTTAGAACCAACCAATAACAAAAATAGCATATAGCAAAATTTGTAGGATATAGCTAAAACAGTACTTAAAAATGTGCAGAATTTTTTATAGCTGGCTCTTGGATTATGCTGATCCATAAGACATATCATGTAACTGTGACTAATTTGTCTGAACACAGTAAATAAAACAGGAAATCTAAGTGGTGGTTTCTATTGTGGCCTTCAGATACAACTTAATTATCCTGTGTTTATATTTGGTTTCCTTGAAATATCAGGAATATTTCCTGATATCCAAACACAGGATAATTAAGTTGGGGCAAGATCTAAGAGCTAGTAATATCTTCAGACAACCCCTGTTAAAAACAAGACAAGTCCAAAATAGAGTCCTTATGCTAAGCTCTACATCACTGAAATGAGATTTACTTACAGTTTCAGCACTCCCAGAAATGGAATCTTAAACCAGTCATTTAAGAGCTGCCAGAACAGCACTAGTTAGACAATATGCCTAATAGATCTCTGCCATCCCCTCAAGGCAAGGAACATTGAAATAACCAATCTATTTTGTTTAATGTGACTTGTTCCTATTCTCTTCTACCTATAAAAGTCATCTTATACAGCTCCTTTGAGTTCCTTTCTATCTGGCTAAGTTGGATGCTATATAATTCAGATCAATTTTTGCTCAAATAAACTTTTTTTTAATGTAATGTAATATGTTATCTATTTATTTACTTATTTGAGAGACCAAGTGAACATGAGCAGGAGGGGCAGAGGGAGAGGGGGAATCTCAAGCAGACTCTGTGCTGAGTGCAGAATCCAGCACAGGGCTCAATCTCGAGACCCTGAGATCATGACCTGAGCTGAAACCAGGAGCTAGATGCTCAACCAACTGCACCATCCAGGTGCCTCTCAAATAAGCTCTTAAAGAATTTAATACACTTCAGCTTATCCTTTCACACCCTTGATGGATGCTTCAGACAAACAGCAGAGGTTGGGGATGACAATATCTACTGAGGGGACAAACAGCACTCAAGGTTACCTTGATAGTGGCTGTTATGCATACTGAGTTAACTGGAGGCAGGAGAAAATATGAGGAAATGTGGGTCTGTAAGACAGAACGCAAGAGTCCTCTTCACTAGCAGCCCTGTGCACCACCCAACCCCACCATACTACATACAGAAAAAGCAGGGGAGAAAGAGGGAGGGAAAGATTGGCTCCCTACATTCCTTTCTAAGAGGGTCAAAAGCTTGGGCATTTTTGAACCAGAGTGCTAGCAGAGAGCTTTTGATAGAATGGGAGAATTCAATCGAGCCCACTCATCTCTTGTGTCCATGAAGGTAGAGAACAAGGACAGCCTATGAGCTCCCTCACCCTGAGAAAGCCCAAGGTTGGGGCTTGGGCTGCTCTATTCCACTGCCTAGGTAGTGTGGCAAATACTTGCTTTTCTTCCATTCCCTTGGGGTGGCAGGAGAGGATGCTGTTCAGCTGGCCTTTTGTGTTATAGGCTCTATGTGTAGGCAAATGAGTCTTCCACGTGGATCAGCCTGGACCAGCAGAGAGAAAACCACCTGAGACTGGGACAAAGGCTCCAGCTCAGAAAGAGGTTCATCCCAGCATGCCCTGTGTGTTTCTGCATCCTTAGCACACACTTAAGGCCTGGAGTCAAACTACCTGTCACCAGACACACCTGAGGAGCCCTGGTGCCGGTGAGCGTGTATGTTTTGGGGATCCCCAGAGCCACACGCAAGTTCAGGGATCACTGGAAGAACTTATGGGACTCAGCACAGAGTCATACTCATGGTCAAGGTTTATTACAGTGAAAGGATCTAGGATAGGATCAAGTAGAGGACTAGCCACTGGCAGAGTCTGGATGCTTCTGACGTCCCCTCTCACCAGTCAGGAGACACTGAGGTGTGCCCCTCTCTCCAGGAGTAAGGAGTAAAAAATTCACTAATGTGTGTACACTGTTTCTGCCCTGGAAGAGACTTAGCATCCAAGGTTTTTAATAGTGTCTGGTCAGGTAGGTCTCCTCTGCCCAGCAATGAACATAACCCCAAACTCAAAGAAGGAAAGCAGGTGTTGGGCACAACTGTCTGCTGAACAATTCCATCCACAAAGCCTCAGCAGAACGAACTATTTTTCTCAGTCGGTTAAGTGCCCAGCTCCCAGATGCCAGCCAAGGGTGAACCTCATGAATAGGCCGTAATAATAACAGCAGCTTGAGGCCTGCTCTATTCTCATTTCTGCACGTTTCCCATCCTGAAATGCTTTCCTTTCCTATTTGTGCGGTTTTGTAAGAAAAACTGGACTTCACACCCACCCCAGGAATCCTGTCTGCTCTGTAGCACTCAAGCTTTACAAGCCATGTGTTCTATCACAGTATGGGCAGCCCCAGAGGGCTTAAAAAGTTGTCACAGACCAACGGGCAGCAATGATTTTAACCCAGGCACTGAAAATAGGAATATGTGACTTTAAAGGGAATTTTTATATATTTTATAAGAATTTTACTCAGAAGCCTTTATCTACAAAAGATATCACGGTTGGATAAGTTCCCCTACAGCCTACAGTCTTAAGGCCTGTAATCACTTAGGTAGAGGAACCTCTTTGGAGGAAATGGTGGGCATTCATTATCAATGAATTTATATCAAGGGCTTAATATGCCAGAGGATGTTCCTGGTGCAGGTGATAAAGCAGTCAACAAAACAGACAAACACCTCTTACGGTCAGGAGCTTATAATCCAGAACGAATAGAGAGAGAAGCAAAATAAGTAAATAGGACAAGGAAAGTGCTCTGTGCCTATTCTGGGCCAGCAGTGCTTCCCTGGTTCCTCCCCTGGTGGGAATGTGAACCTTTCATAAGTGGAACTCATAGTTTCCAGTTCTTCTTGGGCTGTAACATAACCTGTGACAACAAAAGACTTGCGGCGTTACAGAAATACAGCCTCCTTGTCTATTCTGGCAGGACTTCCCTGCACAGAGCAAAGCTATAGAGACCTGAAGGTAGGGGGCACAGTCACAATCAGATATGCTGCTTTTCCTTCCAGCAGAGGTATGCACCTGTACACATGTGCATGGGTTTAGTCTCTTCTCAACCGATATGAAATCTACCTGCAATGTGACAGGTTTTTATCACTCAGTGAGATTGTTGGATTCTCCCTCTCTTCCCCTACCCTATATTAAAAAAAAAAAAAGTATAGGGATAGTTCATAGCAAGTGAAACACTGCAAAACAGATCAGTGTTCCACAGGTTACTCTGGTTCCTCCTAAACCCTGAGTGCCTGGCAGCTGACAGCTGTAGAGCACATCAAAAGAATGTATGATACACAGTAACTTCCAAAAGTGTATGGCCTTATCTGATTCATAAAGAAGAGAATACCTTCAGAGAAGTCATGACAATTAGTTTAGTCATCTTGTTCAATGTAACAGCAGACATCAACATTCAGATGTCACCATCTCACTTCTCCCTGCTTTCTGTTGTCATTACTATCAAAGACAAGTCAACCTACCCAGTTACCGCTGGTGTCCTTACAGGAGCAAATCTGGAGATTCAGCAAAGAGCCATCAGAACAGCCCAACATTGATCTGTTTGAAACAGGGCATGAGTATCATTTCTGACTTTAAAAAAATGCAAGATAGAAATGAAGGCGAACTTGTCTAGAAACCTTGTATTTCTGAATAATTCAGTGATGGTTATTTAATCTTTGAGTCAGGATCACACTGAAAGTACCTATCAGTAAGTGATAAAGTGTGTAAAAGGAGCTAATATTTTTATTTGAACCATTTCTTCTAAATATCGTAACTACAGTATCACTTTTTAAATCCATTCTAAAGCCTCCCTGCCATCTTTCCCATTCCTCCATGTGGCTCATGCAGAGCGGCCCCATCAGGGCCATTCTGTTGGCAGCATGCTGGCAGGGCCTCCCCTCCCTGCAGCCATGTGCGCAGCCAGGCTTTTGTACGGCAGTGGCCCCGTTAGCATCATCAAACCTATCAGAAGAGAAGATACTGGGCAGAAGAAAATGTTTCTTAGACAATAGCACAATTGTGAAGGGAGTTAAAATGGTCAGCTTGCATTGGCCTCTCAAATGCTGCAGTATTTGGAACAAAAGCCCATAGACACTGTGCACGAAGAAATCTGTTCCAACAAGAAGCTTCATTTAAATATTCACTTAGTAAAAGAAATGAAGGCTGTGTGTACTAGGATCAATAGGAAATAATTAAAGCAAGGATAATTTGATCCATACAGCTGAATGATATCAAAAGAATGGCTATGTTGAAATTTTTTTCTTACAGAGTAGGCCAGTGTATTTCGAAAGAATACATTTTCCCTATGATTTAAAGCCATCTGGTCTCCTCACCTTAAAGAACCATCCCTTACCATGTCCACTCCCACCCCACCCAGTACCAAATATGGCAGCCCCAAAATGAAAGATCATTTGTTGAGCTACCAGAAGAGCAGTCACATTTATATTCATTTGGAGGAAGGAAAATGGGAAAGTACTGTAGAACCTGCTTGGCCAGGGGTAAGCTTTTCATCCTTTTCTCCCCCTCCAACTACATTATTACCCTGACATACTGTGACCTCACAAGCAGGAAGGTGTTAGCTGCCAGCACATGGGAAATGCAACTTGAAAGAGTCCTTTACAGAACTGTTGACAGGGCAGTTCTGGGCCACTCAAAACCACCTACAAAGAGAGGAAACCCAGGATTATTTGAGGCAGCTGACAAGAAGAACCTATGAACAATTAACTCTTAAGCAAAGAATTGAGGCAGGTGAGAGCAATAACATATGATTAGGCTGGAAAAATAACATTTAAGTCTTCTGGGGTTGACAGTGATTTTATTAATTCATTAACTTCATTCTAAAAAGTCAGAATAGCAAACTATTTGTCAAGGTTGCTTAGAGATTCTCTTGTAAAAAGTTGGTGCCGAATGCTAAAACACAAACCTAATCCTTAGGGAATTAACACAGCTTCCATGGAGCCCTTGTAGCAAGTGGATTTTACAGAGAGGATTTCTATTTAGCAAATAATAATAATAATAAACATTTTGCATCAACATTAAAATTTTGAAGACACACAAGTGGGATACCTGGCATGATAATTTTTGCTAAATATTTCAAGTGTGGTACAAAGTAGAAATACATTTTTTTAAAGAGCATTTGAGATAACTTCATTCCTCCTGAAAACAAAATTGTATCTTTAGGTATTAGAATGAACGATGTTTTTAAAATCACTGTAATTTTTGGGATGCCTGGGTGGCTCAGCAGTTTAGCGTCTGCCTTCAGCCCAGGGTGTGATTCTGGAGTCCCGGGATTGAGTCTCACATCAGGCTCCCTGCATGGAGCCTGTTCCTGTCTCTGCCTCTCTCTCTTAGTCTCTCATGAATAAATAAAATCTTTAAAAATAAATAAATAAAATAAAATCACAGTAATTTTTTTTATTGATTTACAAGTAACACCATTTTAGATGTGAAAACTAATTTTCACATCAGACCTCAAGGAAAATAATCTTTACAAAGCTGTCTCAGGTCATACTGATTAGCAGTGAAAGAAAGAAAAAAAGAATAAATCTATAAGACACCAGCAGCTCAAATAAAATTAATCTTCCTTATTGCCCCCACCACATGTTTCATAAATAGGTATTTAAATCTATGTTGTATACATAGTGTGTAGTAAGTCTCCAAAAATGGTGCCCAAGATCCATGCCTCCTGGTATTCGTTCCCTTCTGAAGACTCCTCTCTTTGAATCTAATCTCCCTCTTGATCAATGGAATATGGCATGGGTGACAGTGAGGGACATCTGTGGCTAGAGCATAAGCCTGGGTCTCTTGGAATGTTGCTCTGAGGGATGTCAGCTCTCATGTGAGAAGATCAAACAAAAAAAAAAAAAAAGAGAGAGAGAGAGAGAGAGAGAAGCTCAAACACCCTGGGGTTATAAGGAAGCCCAAGATTGCCAAATGGAATGGCCAGATGGCTGCGCAGCCGCCTCTCAGCTGTTTCAGCCAACCCCAGCTCAGGCACCAGAGACTGAAGTGAAGACACCATGGCGGTGTCTTTCAGGCCAGTCATGTCTTCAGATGTCTGCAGCTCCAGCCACCAGGCAGCTGCCAGAGAGATCTCAAGCAAAGCTCAAGCTAAACCTGGTCAACCAAGAGAACCGGGAAAGATAAGTTATTGTTGAAGACACTAAATTTTGGTGGTGCTTGTTACACACCAATTGATATCCGGAATACTTTATATGTAAAATAGCAGTAAGCTATTCAGTAAGCTGTTCAGACGGACATGTATGTATCCAGAGCAACACACTCCTTAACTAAAACAATGATTTTTGATTCTCACAGTGGGACATCTCCAGACTGCCTCCAAAGATTTCAAGAATATTATGAATGTTTACAAATCTTAAAATAGGGGCGTCTGGGTGACTCAGACAGTTAAGCAACCGATTCTTGATTTTGGCTCACGTCATGATCTCAAGGTATTGAGATCGAGCCCTGCATCTGGCTCATGGTCGGGAGGAGTCTGCTTGAGATTCTCTCTCTCCCTCTGCCCTTCCCCTGGCTCTTACGTGTCTGGGTGTGTGCATACCCACACAAGAGAGACAGAGACAGACAGAAGGAAGAAAAGGAAAGAAAAAAAAGAAAAGAAAAAATAAAAAAGCAAAGCAAAGCAAAGCAAAGAAAAAAGAAAGGGAAAGGAAAAGACAGACAGGCATGGATCTGGGTGGCTTAGTCAGTTAAGCATCTGCCTTCGGCTCAGGTCATGATCCCAAGGTCCTGGGATGGAGTCCCTCATGAGGAGGGAACCTGTTTCTCCCTCTCCTCCCTGCTCAGGCTCTCTCTCATTATCTCTCTGTTTCTCTCTCTCAAATAAATAAATAAAATCTTTTTAAAAAATTGTTCTTTAAAAAAGAAAATCTTAAAAAAAAATCTTAAAACTGATTTTAACTGTTTAAACAAACTAGGGATGCCTGGATGGCTCAGCAGTTGAGCATCTGCCTTCAGCTCAGGTTCTGATCCCAGGTTCTGGGATCAAGTCCCGTATTGGGCTCCCTGCATGGAGCCTGCTTCTCTCTCTGCCTGTGTCTCTCACATGAATGAATGAATGAATGAATAAATAAATAAATAAATAAATAAATAAATAAATAAATAAATAAAATCTTTTTAAAAAATGTTTAAACAAACTAAAACTGTTTAGTTTGAAAAAGATAAACATACAGCATAAAGTTCCTTTTGCAGGGATCTAAGACAATTATACTTGTAAATCAATCATTTACTTGTAAAGGTGGAGTCACCTATCTATAAAGTGAAAAGGTCCAGAAACAGGTAACCCTCCACTGTGATTTCCAGAGTCTTAAGGCCTCAAAATGTGGGCTGCATGCCACCTGTCACCTGACAGCTGAATGACAATCTGCGTTGTAACAAGATCTCCAGGTGATTCACATACCTATCAAACCTAGAGACACACTTTTGTAGAACAGTGGTTCCCAAACTGGTCTGTATATGAAATCATCTGGGAATCCTAAGAATTCCAAAATTCAGGCCATAGGGACACAGGCACTGGTGGTTTTAAAGACCACCAGGTGTTTCCAGGTGCAGCCAAGTGTGGGAACCAGTGGTCATTCTGGGCGGAGTTCTGGTTCTCAAACTTGGCTCCTCAGTGGAAGACCCTGTGGAGCATCAAAAACATTAATACCTGCTTCGGCCCCCAGAAAGTCTGATGCCACTAGTCTCAGATGTGACCCAGGCACTGAGACTTTTTTAAAGGCTTTCCAAATGACTCTCATGTGCAGCAAAGTTTGAGAACCATGATGTAGAGCCTGCCACAGGCTCCAAAGTGGTAGCTAAGTCTGTGCCACTCTTTCTGGAAAGGGCTTTAAAGGCAGTGAACATGAATTAAAATGAACAGTTGGTCTCACAGCTTTCAGCTAACTCACCAGTATAATGACAGCCTCAAGCTTGCTGGAGCACAGGTCTGCCAAATCTTGTATGTCCCCATGGGCTCTCCTGGCACTTCCCTCCAGCACATGTCCCTTCTCTTCTGCTGGGCTCTCTTTCAAGTGATTAACCATGTACATCTGCTTAGCATTAGGAGCAAATAGCTTCACCTTCAAAAATAGAAATAAAAACAAATGATGTCATTGGCTCTATGAAAATAATCAAGCAAATCAATCTCGAGCCTAAATCAGGAAGGAAAGTCAGAAAACCACTAAGTAATTCTGTATGCCTTCAGGGCCGACACCAATTACAAATAGCAGTCCCAAAGGAAGAAATTGCAGGAGACTTCTGGGGGGGGGGGGGATAAAAAGCTATAAATCAGCTTCTAGAAAGAAAGTAGAACAGAAAGAGGTTGGTTTCCAAATACATACACATATCTATCTGCCCACACACATAGTAATATACATGTATGTATGTGTATATATTACATATATATGTAGTCCCTGAACAACACAACTCCTGTGCGATCAAAAATTCATGTGTAACTTTGACTACCCCAAAACTTAACTACCAATAGCCTACTGTTGACTTAAAGCCTCACTGATAACATGAATGGTTGACTAACACATTTTATATGTTGTATTAAATACTGCACTCTTGTAATAAAGTTAGCTAGGAGAAAAAAAATGTTAAGAAAAACATAAGAGAAAATATGTTTGTAGTACTGTATTAATTTTTTAAAATTCTGCATAAAAGTGGACCTGGACCCACACACTTTTATGTAGAGTTGGCCCATGTTGTTCAAGGGTCCACTGTACATGCTTTATAAAGAGATGGAAGAGAGGATCCGATTTTATAGATAGGAACATAAAACCATGAGCGAATTGATTCAATCTATCTTTAAAGTCTTTCTAAAGCAGGGATCCTTATGCCTGCCTGCATATCAGAATCACTTGGAGAGGCTGAGGCCCAGTTACATGGGAATCTGAAACACTAGCTTGGGCACTGGTAGGTCTTAAACACTAGCTTGGGCACTGGTAGGTCTTAAAATCTCCTGAGGTGACCCCATCATTTGTCATGTTTGGCAAGCACTGATCTAAAGCAAGTGGGAAATAACACTCACAAACTCTGAATTAAAATCTCAGGGGTTTTAATGCCAAGAACTCAAAGCACACCATTTGGAAACTCTTACTTGACCCACTTCCATGCATCAAACCCAACCAAGCTCTGGATTATCACTCCTAGCCTATCATCAGAAATAGTTCCTCTTTCCCCAGCCACTGGATCCTGCAGGGGAAGTGATGTGGGAGCTATGAGGATTTGAAGGCAAGAAAGGAAACTCAGGGTAGGCACCTGTATACTGGGGCCCCTGGTGTCATATCTTCTTCACTGACTTCTACCCCACTCCAAAACTTGCAGGCCCACTATTCCAGGAACTGAACAAGGCTGGTTTGAGTGAAATGTCCCTTGACTCTCTGAGAAGGCATCATTAGGATTACAAAGCATATGATCATAATTTAGCCTCCTGTTATTAAACTTTGTATTTGATTAAAAGATACATTAATATTCTAAACATTCTCTCTTCCTTGTATTTTTGGTTTTACAAAACTAATAACTTCTATCCGTGGAATAGATCTCTCTATGGGAGAGATTCTAAGTACATATATATCCCATTATTAGTAAAAAGAAAAAAGCGAAGAACATTCTGAAGGGCAAGAAAGATGCAAAGAAAAAAAAAAGTGGATTCCTTTTTAAACTAGTAATTCTGGAAACAGATTGGCTTGCAGTTGCTCTGTGAAATTAACTGCATCCACCTATTAATTTCAGATGGCAGTGAAGATGAAAATTTAAATTTCACCTACATTCTACTCTACCCCAGAATCCTATACCTTTATTTTTCCCTTTGTGTGAGGAGATGCCATACAATTCCACTGGTGGGCAACAGTTCAGTGGTTGATAAACATGATTTTATCAGGCTATAGTAAAGTTCTGAGTGTTCTTAAGCTAACTGAACAAGGACCCAAGAGAAACCAATTGGATTAAAATTCAATCTATTTTTTGATGATGGATCTTCAAGATTTAAAAACCAAGAGCTAGAGAGAAGGCAGTATAATGAGGGATCAGGCAACAATAGTCTATAGGCATCTTTAGCCTGGGGTGCTTGGGATCATGGCCAAAAGGAACAGAAGGCAGAACCAGACCAGAGCAGATGGGGGCTACTGAGAGGCCAAGTTAGGGCTAATGAGGCACCGCTCTCTCACTATTAGAGCTCCTTGCACACGGAATGAAGAGACTGCAGTACCAAGAGAGGAGATCCCCACCCCAGTGCATGGTCAACATGAGCGCGCTTTGTAGTTCTGGGATGTCCTGAGTAGGATGGGAAGCTCCACTGTGGCCGTCAAGCATATGGTCCCATTATTTGTAAATTGTTACTTTGGAGAGCTGTTTCAGGGTCAAGCCAGGTATGAGTATCTGCCCACTAGGAATCCTGTGGGTACCCTTCAAATTGAGCATTACATTTTAGCTGTCATGGCTAGAATGTGCCGTCCCTCCCTACCCCCTCTTGTGTGGATCCTTGGAGAGGTCGGTTTAGCCTTGGCGATTCTGAACTGGCCATGGTATGGAGAGCTGGGATCGCAACCACCTCACCACTTAGCCAAGAGGGTGTTAAAATGGTGCTCTGCCTGAACGTGCACGGAATTCCTCAACCCGCTGCAGAAAGTGGGCACAGGTGGGGGCGGGAGGGAGAGCCAATTCCCATCAGCCCGCACAAGGCCTGGTGGGCCTGAGGCAGCCAATGCGGCCCCTCCCCCACCCCCTAGCATGGGTCAAGCGCTCACCTACGGCCACCACAGCCACCTCACTGGTTAATCACTATATGCTTACACATACTATGACGGCGCAGCCCCGGTGGCGCAGCGGTTTAGCGCCGCCTGCAGCCCAGGGCGAGATCCTGGAGACCCAGGATCGAGTCCCACGTCAGGCTCCCTGCGTGGAGCCTGCTTCTCCCTCTGCCTGTGTCTCTGCCTCTCTCTCTCTCTCCCTGCAGCTCTGTGAATAAATAAATAAAATCTTAAAAACAAATACTATGACGGTCCACAAGTGCTGCGGATGAAGTGAAGGCAAGTTGCTCTCCTGTAAAGCAAGTGCCTGTAACTCAGAACGCTTTTAATGAACTGTTTATGGACGTATTTCTTTTTTTTTTATTTTTATTTATTTATGATAGTCACAGAGAGAGAGAGAGAGAGGCAGAGAGAGAAGCAGGCTCCATGCACCGGGAGCCCGACGTGGGATTCGATCCCGGGTCTCCAGGATCGCGCCCTGGGCCAAAGGCAGGCGCCAAACCGCTGCGCCACCCAGGGATCCCTATGGACGTATTTCTGACGAAAAGAACGGCAAGCCACGAACATCTCACCAGAAGCAGGGCGGTTGACCCCAATGCTTTCCTGAGGTGGATGAAGGGTCAAGGAAGGGTGACGTAGAATCTTCTCCCGCAGTGAAGCGGCAGCTTCCAACAAGGAAGGACATCCGGGTGCAAGGGGCGGCCTGGATTAAATAGCGTTGAGAGCAGTACCGCGGGCTCTCTATTGCGTTGGCCATTGGCTAGGTCGGGTGAGGACCGGTCACGCCTCCATCACCGTCCTTCTTCCTCACGGCACCACCTCAAATAGTCTTTCCCTCAAATGTTTCCTGTCACCTAGTCTGGACCCTGCGTGGCGGGGTGAAGAGTTCCGTGCTGCGCTAGAGATTCCAAAAGAGGGGCCCAAAGCTGGATTTTTTGTTGTTGGTGGTGGTTTGGTTTTGGTGTGGGTGGTGGCTGTTGAGCGGGGGTCAGGAAACAGCCCTACCGCAGCGCTGATCCTTCAACCGAGACGCGGGGCCAGAACTCCGCACCTAGAGTCCGTTTCAAAAAAATAAAAAAGGAGGCCCCGAGGCCCGGCTGGAGTGGTCCGCGGACGCTTCCCGGTCGGCAGTCCGAGAGCCACCACCGGGCGCGCCGCTGCGCACCGCAGGGCTCCTCCGCTCCCTCCCGCTCAGGAAGGCGCGCGGCCCCGGCCGCGGAAAGGGCGGGACCCGCCGCCCCAGAGGCGCGGGGCCCGGGGTTGGCGCAGCGCGGGGGCGTGGCTCTGCGCATGCTCAGCTCGCGGGTCCTCCGCGTCGCCGGGCTCGGGAGGCGCCGGAAGCACCGGGAGCCGCCGCATGGCGCGGGCGGGGAGCGCCGACCCGGGGGTCGGGGGCCATTGGGCCGCGGGGCCGGGGTGCGCGCCTTGGCGCTGGGCCCTGGCGCTGCTGTGGCTGGCGACGGCCGCGGGCGGCCCCTCCCGGCGCCAGTGGCCCGTGCCCTACAAGTGAGTGCGCGCGCGCGGGCGGGCGGGGCGGGCGGAGGACCGCGCTGAGGGCGCCCGCGCTCCGGCTGCCGGCCGCGCTCCGCCCTGCGGCCTTTCTTCCCCTCAGGACCCTTGCGCCGGTGTCTAGGTGACCGAGGCTCAGGACAGCCCCGAGCCCTGGAAGAAACGGGGAGTAATGTCATTTGATTGAGTGACTCAGACTCAAGTGACCGACGGTCAGAGAAGTCGGAGGAGACTTTGTGGCGTTTATCACTGACATCGCGCGTGTCGTTAGTTACCGCGAGCACATACCCGGCGGCACAGTTTACAGCATGACAGACTCGCCGGGGTTTTCTGGGACTCTTCTGGTTTTAGCCCTAAAAGTCACGCGTCCTGGGGAGATCCCCCGCCCCCTTTGACGCGGGCCCAGCGGGAAGGTTGGTGACCTCGTTTCTTCCCCCCCCCCCACCCTCCCACCCCCGTTTCCAGTCTGGGTGTAGGATGTGGCCATAGGGGAACAGAGGGGGCACCTGGTGGCTCAGCGGTTGAGCGTCTGCCTCCGGCTCAGGGCGTGATCCTGGGGTCCTGGGATCGAGTCCCGCATCCGGCTCCCTGCATGGAGCCTGCTTCTCCCTTTGCCTGTGTCTCTTCCTCTTTCTCTGTGTCTCTCATGACTAAATAAATTAAATCTTTTTTTTTTTAAATAAGGTTTGTTTTGTAGCAAATTCTGTCATACCAGATCTGCTACTTAGGCTTGCTCTGGGGCTCATTCCTCACCAGTTAGAGTGCAGGGGTTGTGGTTCGTGCTGCATCAGTGCAAAATGACAGTGCCTCCCTCCCTCTCCCACCTCAAAGCCTGAACTCCTTATTTAGAGCCTTATTTACTTACCTATTATAATACTTCGTGTTTTCTCTACTTTGTGTCCTGACCTTCAGAATAAGCCAGGTCTTCATCTCTTTCTTTGCCCTCCTTATCCTCATCCATTCCACGTCAAGTATTAGTGATTTCTCCCATAGGACTCCATTTCTTTAGCACTTACCACACTACACTTCATTTCTTGTTTAATGTATTCCCAGCCCCCACCCAAATGTTCTTGAGGAAGGGAACATCATTTTATTTTTATTTTCCTCCTTCTTTAAGTAGTGTCCTACACATAGCAGAGCGTTAATAAATATTGGCTGAAGGATCATTGGTTAATTTCATTATTTAAAATTTATTTTAAAGATTTCATTGGCTTCATTAAACGATTCATGAATTGGGCCACATGGCATCTAGCAAATAGAGGGGCACTCCTGTTGGTTAATTCTTAAGAAAATAGAAATGTGTTCTATTTAATAATCTTAACATACGGATTGTTTAGGAAATTAAATATCACTTGAAAAATACTCTGTTATTGAGTAAATGTTTGTCTACTAAATAAGATCTGATCTATCAGAATTTTAAGATATGGCCTCTGTCTTTAAGATTTTCACAGTGGGAGCAGGGAACAGGGAAGCATGCATTTATCAAAGTGCTTTTAATGTATCATTTGCTGTTAAAGACATCATTGGAGTTCACAGGATTACAAAATGTAATACTATTGGGCTAAACTTTGAAGGTTTTCTCTGAAAATGTTATTGACTGTGATAATAAAATCTGGATTCTAAAATGTGCAAGAAGAACCAAACTCCTATTAGAATCTAAGTTAGTGCTTTCTTTTTCTTTATTAGGCGCTTTTCCTTCCGTCCAGAACCAGATCCTTATTGTCAAGCTAAATACACATTTTGTCCAACTGGCTCACCTATCCCAGTTATGAAAGGTGATGATGTCATTGAAGTCTTCCGGTTACAAACCCCAGTATGGGAATTTAAATATGGGAACCTCCTGGGACACTTGGTAAGGCTGCGGTTTTGATCTTACAACTTTGGTTAATTAAATGACTTATTAAGTGGAGTTGAGGAAATAATCACTGTTCTAAGGGCTGATTTAAGAACATGTTTAATTGGTGTTCTTGGCATATTTAAAATGAGTAGTCAGTGGGGTACCTGGGTAACTCGGTTGGTTAAGCATCCGACTCCTAGTTTTGGCTCAGGTCATGATCTCAGAGTCGTGAGATCCAGCCTGTCATCAGCTCCATGCTGGGGTCAGAGTCTGCTTGAGAGTCTCTCCATCTCCTTCCCCCTCTGCCCTGCACCCTCCTCATGAGGGCATGTGCATGCACTTGCAAGCTTGCATACACACACTCTCTCTCAAATGAAATCTTTAAAATGAGTAGTCAAAAAAGTACTACCATGTTTTGTAATCCTGACAATAACAAATGCAGTTGCTTTAATCCCTTTTAATATTCTGAATCCGTACCCAGCTCCTGAAAAGTAGGAAAGGAGGAGGCCCGGAGGAATGGGCAAGACAGGCGGGAAACACTTCACTTCCAGTCCGTGCTGTACACACTTTTCCTGGGTTAGCTTCCCATTTAAGCCTCTCATCACCCTGTGAAATATATAGACTTCCTGAGACTGTGGTATGGTACTTCTCGAACCCATTCTAAATTGTAAGGAAATTAAAAGCACATCCATATAGCAAACATCCTTACTATCTGAGATAAGCAGCAGTGGTCAAAATCAGAGTGGATGAGGGCCTAGAATTTGAAGAACCCCAAAGTGGACACAAGAATAGCAACATGGAAGTGGAATAGCTGAGCACTCGATCTACTTGATATACAGTTGTGGTATATTACATTTTCTCCCATTTGGTTCCTGGGCCAGTGGTTACTTCACAGATGCTTTTGTACATGTATGATCTTTACACAGAAAATTATGCATGATGCCATTGGATTCAAGAGTACTTTAACTGGCAAGAACTACACAATGGAATGGTATGAACTTTTCCAACTTGGAAACTGTACATTTCCCCATCTCCGACCTGAAATGAATGCCCCTTTCTGGTGCAATCAAGGCGCTGCCTGTTTTTTTGAAGGGATTGATGATATCCACTGGAAGGAAAATGGGACTTTAGTTCTGGTAGCAACCATATCAGGTAAGTTTCAAAAATATGGCAGTATTTGACAATTGTATCAGTATCCAAATGAAAAAAATTACTTTCATTGAGGCATTTCAGTCATGTTCTTCTCTTTTTAATTTTTTTTTAATTTTTGTTTATTTATGATAGAGAGAGAGAGGCGGAGACACAGGCAGAGGGAGAAACAGGCTCCATGCACCGGGAGCCTGCTTCTCCCGGGTCTCCAGGATCGTGGGATTCGATCCCGGGTCTCCAGGATCGTGCCCTGGGCCAAAGGCAGGCGCCAAACCGCTGCGCCACCCAGGGATCCCTGTTCTTCTCTTTAGAAGTCATTTTACAAAATGTACTTATGGAAGCAATAGCTTTTGACCCAAACTATTGCTCATGCCAAGTGTCACCTGTAGGTGATGAGTAGTATATCTCCTCTCTTTGATGGCAAAAAATGAATAAAATAATAAAATGTTTTCTGCAATTAAATTGGAGTTGCTAAATAAAATAGTGGAAGAAAATCCACAAAATGCCTGATAAAACAATTGATTAAAGGTCCTGTTACCTCAATCTGGAAAAAGACTTTTAGTGATGATACCATGTTTTTGTCAAGGAATAATAATAGCTACCGCTCATGGAGACTTACTCTGGGCCCAGCAGAGGTTCCGAGTGCTTTATCTGTATCATATGATTTATTATCACGACCACCCTCTGAAATAGTTATTGTTATCCCTCCCCCTATTTTACAGATGGGGAAACTGAAGCCCCAAGTGGTTAGTCACACAGCTGATAAGTAGGACTCCAACACTGGCAGTGAAGCCCTCTTGACCATTTTCTTAACTGCTTCACTAAATTGCTTCCCAAAACATACACAATCTTAAGGATTTAAGGCTCCTTGAGCAAATGAAATATTTTATCTCTTGAGATTTTCTGTTCTTTTGGATGTATTAAAAAGTTGCTGAAACCCTTGGAATGTTGCTGCATGTATTGCATTGTTGGGTAGTGATGAAAGGAGTTTTATCAGAAACTGGCACATGACCTTCGGTGACATTTTACTTTATTGACTCATTTCTTCATGTATAGAACAGGGACAAGGCTGCCATTACATCCTAGAGATACAAGCTTACCCATATGATTTATAGAGTTCTGTGTTATGATTGTTGTTCTCCAAGAAAGTGGAAATATCTGGAATGAAAGCCCTGTTTGTGATAAGAATTCTGTAAATCACAGGACTTGAGGACGTTATGATGCTTTCTTTCCATTTGGGTAGCTCTTTACATAGCATTTTGGAGCATGTTATCGCACAGTTCAGTGAGGAGGATAAAACACTCTTCTTCCTTTCATAAGCAAGGAATCAAGTGTCAACCAGGTAGCATCACTTACCAGTCTCTTCAAGTCTCAGATCCTGTTGTAGAATCAGGAATAGAAGAGTGACTTAAATGTCACCTGGCGATCTTCTAACTATACACCATGCTGTTAGCTGATCTCCCTTCCTACTTTCTAATCCATGTGCCCCAAATCATCCCAACGGTATCAAAGTTTATTTTTCTTCTAACAGTGTTAGTACTCTCAGCGTTAATACTCTTTATTTTTTCATTCAGGCCAGTTCTCATTTCTCCTTGTCCACCTATCTCATTATCTGAAAATACTTTTCTGCCATCAGTTGTACAATACAAACAAGTGATCACTATTTTATGTAAAATAGTTTGTAATATGCTAGTACTTAAATCTTTCAAGTTACCAATCTGCTTTGTGATTAATCCTGTCCATTTTCTCATGTTACAGAGTAGTATTTTGAAGTATCCTTATCTCTTAATTATAGCAGTGATTTTTTAAAGTTGAAGAACACTAAGAACAGTGCCCCCAGTTCTAAAAAAACAGGCTTTATATTCACAATTTTAATTCCATAAGATTGATAAAAGCAGCCTTTGTATAGGACATGAAGTACTAATTTCATGGACTCAAGTTGGAGCACTTAAAGGTTCACACACAGTGACAAGGTGAAACGTTGGGACCAAGCTCTATTAGATATTGTAAATGCCCCGATGAGGTTGTAGCCATGCAGCGTAGGGTATTTTGTTAACATTTGGAGAGATTCCTCTGTCTGGTATAAGATGATAGAGTGTGAGAGCCGTCAGAATCTGTATAGTCCACAAATGTGGCCAAAAGCATTTCCAGTTTAGTTGCTTCACCGGAAGAATTTGTATAGTTGGTGGGAAGGCTATAAGCAGAATCCGACAGCTCAAAGTATAGGGAGAAAAGGGAGGTAACAAATACTCAAGTTGGAGAGGGTAGTGTAAGTACTTCTCTTGTAACGTTAGCAGGCGAGCCCTCTAGAGGAGCTCTTCCCCTGGCTGCCATTCATACTGTTTGCATACCGAACTTTGTGACAGAAAATCTCTGCATCCTCCTTCCACCATTCTTAACACTGCCTTTGCTCCATTCACTTTTACATAGTTTTTCCCTTATTTTCTTTCTTTTGCCTCTGAATCCAAGATTTGTTGAGTGGGGTAAAGAAAGAGGGCTTCTGCATGTGTGTAACTTTTCTTTTCTTTTCTTTTCTTTTTTTTTTTTTTTAAAGATTTTATTCATGAGAGACACACACGGGGTAGGGGGAGGCAGAGACACAGGCAGAGGGAGAAGCAGGCTCCCACCAGGGAGCCTGACGTAGGACTTGATTCCAGGACTCCAGGATCACGCCCTGGGCAGAAGGCGGCGCTAAACCGCCGAGCCACCCAGGCTGCCACTTTTGATTATAGCTTAAATGATTACAGAATTGGTATGTAGGACTGTATATACCTACGATATCTAACGTTTACAATTCAGAAATACCTTGTGCCTTGAAAAGTAGAATGGCTGAGCTTGAATTCCTATTGTGAGATGCAGGATTGGAACTATTATAAATAACTAGATAAATAATAATAAAAACTATTATTTATTCATGGTCTTAATCAGGTTAGAACATTTTATGTGAAACTATTATGATTTGCTTTGGTGTTCACATAGGTAATTTTTTTTTTAACCTAGGAAACACATTTAACCAAATGGCAAAGTGGGTAAAGCGGGACAACGAAACAGGAATTTATTACGAGACGTGGACTGTGCAAGCCAGCCCAACAAAGGGGGCGGAGACATGGTTTGAATCCTATGATTGTTCTAAATTCGTGTTAAGGACATATAAGAAGTTGGCTGAACTTGGAGCAGAGTTCAAGAAGATAGAAACCAACTATACAAGAATATTTCTTTACAGTGGAGAACCTACCTACTTGGGAAATGAAACCTCTATTTTTGGGCCGACAGGAAATAAGACTCTTGCTTTAGCCATAAAAAGATTTTATTACCCCTTCAAACCACATTTATCAACTAAAGAATTTCTGCTCAGTATCTTGCAAATTTTTGATGCAGTGATTATACACAGAGAGTTTTATTTGTTTTATAATTTTGAATATTGGTTTTTACCTATGAAATTTCCTTTTATTAAAATAACATATGAAGAAATCCCTTTACCTAAAAGAAATGAAACACTTTCTGGTCTATAACATTCCATTGCTCTTTTTTTCCTTCTATCACCAGCATATATATATTTTTCAGGGGGTGATTTTACATTTGTGGATTTCTTAGGCCTTTCTGCCTTGGAGCAGAAATGCACCTGGGCAGAATTGCCGCATATCATCTCAGGACTTTTTTGGAGAGAAGCTGAAACTCTTACTGCATTGGCCAAAGTGAGTACATTGTACATTAGGTAATCTTGATTTCAAACTCCAAGCCTTTGTTAGTATGAATTATAGTTCATATCAGATATATAGGATCTTTGTACCCCTTATTTTTAAATTGTGGATATGGTATGCCAAGATTTTTTTAAAATACCCTCAGTGACATTTTCATGGCAGGAGCTACTTTTTCGTGGTACGGTAGTTATGGTTTTCATTTAAGCACTTTTTGGTGGTTTAGACTGATGTCACAGCTTTTGTAACTTTCGGGACCAGATCTAGCAGTTTGATTTTGTTCTATTCACTTAAAGACTAATTTGGACACCATAGCTGTAGCAATTGTGCTTCTAAATGAGGTAAAAACAGTGTTCAATAGTACAAGTTTCTAGCTAGCATTTGAGAATTATAGCTAGTAACTGGCATTTTGTGATTTAGATGGCTCATAAGGCATTTCTGAACCTTAGTGTCCGTATGTCTAAGATGATTCATCTGTCAGGACTGTTGTAAAGATTGAAGCCATGTGTATTTTTCAAGGGAAAGTTGCAGTAAATGGTAGCTATAGTGATGAATCAAAGGACAAAGTGCCATCCTTGATCTGGCCTAATGTAGTTTACGAACCTTTCCTGGGTTTTATAGTAATAACCTAGACTTTGAGCTGACAGTTTGCTTCTGCAGTTCTTCAAACACCTAAGACACAGAAGTATGACTGCAGATACATCTGGGTGAATAGGCTTCAAGAGAAATTGGAAGTTATTTTCTGGAAGCTGACATTTTCCCTAAACCTGTCAGATAGGGGACAGGTTTTTGTCAGGATCTCCAAGTAGCTGTGCTTCCACTTAGTCCCATCAAACAAGGTTTCAAGGTCCTTCAGATGTTTAATGATCAACCAAATACTGTCTATTCATGGAAAAAACACCAGTCAGTAAGATGATGAAGCAGAGACCATCTGTAATATGTAAATTGTTACTCGGTTTCTACTAACATTGAGTGCCTCTTGAGAGGTTAGTACAATCTCACTGGATTCTCCTACAAAGCCTAAATGTGGGTATTATTTACCTGATCCAAATGAGTCAGTTGGGGCTTAGAAAGGTTAAGTGACTTATTATTATTTTTTAAAGATTTTATTTATTCATTCATGAGAGACACACGCAGAGAGAGGCAGAGGCACAGGCAGAGGGAGGAGAAGCAGGCTCAAGGCAGGGAGCCTGATGCAGGAATCGATCCTGGGACTCCAGGATCACGCCCTGGGCCAAAGGCAGGCAGTAAACTGCTAAGCCACCCAGGGATCCCTTAAGTGACCTTTCCAAGGCGACCTAACTACTGGTAACAGAGCCACATTTTGAACCGGTTCTGTTGACTCCATGACATACACTATCAAGCAAGGTTTCATTGCTACTCAAAGTGTAGTCCTCAGACCAGTGCCTGCACGTGTTATCAGCACCAGAGGTTACTGGTCAAGTAAATATACTGATAGGAAATATACTGATATACTGGTCAGAAACTTCTTTTAAAGCAACTTATTGAAGTAATTTTATGTTGAATCTAGTAATGGCTTGTATTTTGTATGTTTCTGCTTTTATCTCATTTGTCTAGGAATTCATTTTTATTGTATTTTTCAAAACTATACATAGTACAAGAATCTGAGAATAAAAACCCAGCCCTTTACCACAGATAGCCTGGGAGGCACTGCATTATTCTGCTTACTGCACAGAGGCAAAGTCTTGCACACCTATATGAGAACTCTGTTTCACTGCCTACCATTTAGCCTATGTACTCATGGTAATAGTGCCTAAATATTCATAATTAATTTTGCCTCTTAAACCTGCTAGTTGTCTTCAGAATGCCACAAACTTGGATTCATGTGTTATCACCACCTAGTGGCTGAAGTTGGGCAATGCCAACTTTTAGTGGATATTTAGGAAAATTGATCTGGGAAAACAATTTTGGATTTTCTAGAACAGTGCTAGGGTAACAAGCAAAAACTCTTGTGCCACATTTGTGTTAACTCTAAAACACAGAACTTGGTTCTGTAGCAAAGACAGAGGAGTACATCTGGATGTGGAATTTGAATTTTAAAGCCAAGATTCTAAACAGTCACGTTAGAAAAAGCATTCAATATTTTTCAGTTCCTAAGAATATGAACAAATGAAGGAATTCTGTGAAAATAGGTAAATTCAGGTGACTATAGCACAGAGCATAAAATTCATATTAGTACTTAAGAATTTACCAAACTTGTCAACTGTACTTCCAAGATGAAGTAGGGCTTTTGGAGCAGACTTGGAATGAACATGCTTTCAAAATGGTAGATGAAAAACCAAATTATGGCCAGGTGGGAATTTGCCAATTAAATTTTGCTGTCCTTTGATCTACTATATAACTTAAACATGGTTTCTATTTTTCCTGTTAATTTGTTATGAATGAATAAAATTTCCTCTATTTTTAGAGAAACCATTTTGTTAATTTTGTTGAAATTTGACTTAGGGCTTTAGAGTAAATATATCCTCATTAATTCTGGTTCAGTATTAAGTACATATACCCACAAAGTATCATCAAATATATATATATATTTTAAAGATTTTATTTATTTATTCATGAGAGACACAGAGTGAGAGGCAGAGACAAAGGCAGAGGGAGAAGCAGGCTCCATGCAGGGAGCCCGATGCGGGACTCGATCCCAGTTCCCCAGGATCACACCCTGGACTGAAGGTGGCGCTAATTTAGCTGAGCCACCCGGGCTGCCCATCAAATGTATTTTAATAGGTACATACAGAAATATAGTCAAAATGTTAAAATACTAAACGTTAAATATTTGGAACGCCTGATATTGGCTCCTTTGAAATCAGGGGAAAAAAAGTCTTAGGAAACTTCATCTAGGTTTATAATCTGGTCTGGTGGTACTTAATGAATTTTTTGGTATACTTCAAGATTTTTTTTTTTTAATTGTTGGTATGTTACACAACAGTGTTCCAAAATCATATGCTTGCTTTTCTCTGTTCACAGCCAAAAGCAAATGGGCTGGCCAAAGTTTGTTTCCCCTTCATTGTCCAAGTAGCTTCCTGTGCTCTCAAATTTGCCTATCTACATTTTCCCTCCCCTACTTAAAACTATATTCTTTTACTGTACTGATTATTTTAAGGATAATAAGCTCTTAGTTCACTTTAAGAATAAAGGGCTTTGTGTCCATTTTGGGTTTCAGGAAGCAGGGACATTTTTCTGGCAGCTTGATAACAGCAAAACCTCAGATAAACTGAAGCTGGAATTTGCAAAGATTGTTCGCAGTTATGTATGAAGTACAGATTACTTACAGTTTCTTAAAGGACCCTAGTTCAGGCCTGAGCCTTCTTCACAAACTCCTCCGAATTTATCTATTCTAAGCTTTTCCATAAATATAATTTCTTTGAATGCAGTAAATTGATTTCATCTTTAGTCATACTTGGTTTGGTTTTTGTTTTTTTGTTTTTTTCTGATAGTATTGTTAAAATAGCCCAGATTACCAAGAGAAATTGAAATTATTTTCTGGAAGCTGTTAAGACAAAATGAAAATAATTTCAATAGTTTAAGAACTTTCCGGTTGGGATGCCTGGGTGGTGCAGTCCACTAAGTGTCATACTCAGGTTGTAATCTCAGGGTCATGAGATTGAGTTGTGGGTCAAGCCCACGTGGGGCTCTGCGCACAGCAGAGTCTGCTTAGGACTCTTTGTCCCTCTGCCCCTCCCCCCAGCTCTCTCTAAAGTAAGTAAATCTTTAAAACAACAACAACAAAAAAAAAACCCAACAAACCATTCTGATTGTATGGATGTATACAAGACATTTCTCTATGAAAAGGCCACTTGGGGGGATCCCTGGGTGGCGCAGTGGTTTGGCGCCTGCCTTTGGCCCAGGGCGCGATCCTGGAGACCCGGGATCGAACCCCACGTCGGGCTCCCGGTGCATGGAGCCTGCTTCTCCCTCTGCCTGTGTCTCTGCCTCTCTCTCTCTCTCACTGTGTGCCTATCATAAATAAATAAAACAAAAAATAAAAAAAGGCCACTTGGTTTCAAGGACTTTTAAAAATTCTATTTCAAAATAATGTTTTATAATTCTTTTCTAAGATTTTATTTATTTATTCATGAGAAACAAAGAGAAGCAGAGACATAGGCATAGTCAGAGAAGTGGGCTCCCTCTGGGGAGCCTGATATGGGACTTGACCCCAGGACTCTGGGATCACCACCTGAGCTGAAGGCGGAGGCTCAACCACTGAGCCATCCAGGTGCTCCTGTTTTATAGATACTTATTTTAAAAGCAGAGTCTATTCTTTTTAATTTAACCATTTTCTTTATAAAATTTGAAGAACATTTACATTTCATGGTCAGTTTTTATTCCCTATCACCTTAGTCATCAGAGCTTCAGGAATAGATTCCATTTGCCTAATCTTACATCTTCAAAATAGTCATTCTACCATAAACATTTAAAATTAAACACTGTATTTATTAAATACAAATTGGAAATTAAAACCATAAATCTGTATGCTTGTTAGAAAATCAAGCACCTATATTAGGGTAGTTTTTAAAAACTACAGTAATACAACAGCATTAGTAACTATCTTTATTCTCAAATTGATAAAAGCATTTAACATACTTTACAGTATAAACAAAGTAAGTGCTATGCATTTTGCTTATAAAGTGACTTAAAGTATTTCAAGCATTATATAATTCAATTTGTACAAAAAAGTAAATTTCCAAATAAAGCTTTGGTTAGAACTGATTATGTACTGTCAAATCCATTTTCCAAAGTTGTTCAAGGAAAACAGGCTTCATCCACTAAGACAGGGATTTCTTGTGCAAAGCTATTTACTATTTAGTAAGAAGGGAAAATATTATAACAATTGCTTTTTATTTCCAAGTCTGGATCAGCCTTTTTTCTTCTCATTTATAGGAGAAGAAAATACCATGACTTTTGAAAAAGATAAATTAGGCAGAAAATCACCTTTTACTTTATTCTTTGGAAGGTAATCTATTTAAAAAATAGATTAGATCTGTAAGACTGTTAGTTTCCATAATTACTAAAATGCTTTCTAAAAGTTTCAAGCATTAATATATTAGTCCATTGGGGTAAAATTACTCCTAATTTCCCTTAGGAAGGTAATATCTACTAGCACTAGTGCTCAGAATCAAAGCTTATGTAATACCTAAAAAAACTAAATGTAGCCCAAAACTTAGTATTTTTACAGAAATATATGGATTAACTTTATTCATATGAAAGTAATAAAAATGTTATCTAACTTAAATAATATAAAATAGCGTTTTAACCAAATTAACAATCACAAAACTGCACATTTTTCTATTAAAATTTTCCAGTCCGCTGAGCAATATTTACTCAAAAATATGATTATGAACTTAAATATATCCTCTTTTAAGTTTACTTGTTTATGCAGAACTGTACATTGATGCTCCTTTTATAATTTTTGAAAGTTCTACTTAGATAACTATTTAATTCCTTAATTCCAAGTGGAAAAATGAGCCATCACTAAAATTCACAGGAGAATAATATTCTTTCATGGAAATATTTTATAAACATTTTAAAATTCTACCTTTATTTACGTCAATTTGGCCTTTTTTAAATAGATAAGCTTTTCATTTCAATTACCATATAATATTTCAAAATTAGCTTAAAGATAAACAAAACCAAGGAGAACTGGTAAAGCATTCCTGACTTTACATAGGATGCCAAAGTCACATACATAGTAACATCACAGAAGAGAATTTATATGGTTTAGCAGATTATAGAGCAAACCTGAAAGTTTATACAAAGCTAAACACTTCCTCCCTTTCTGTTTTTTTCTTTTAATTTGATCTTGGCTCTTTTATTATCCTTCTATAATAACCACTGGGACACTTGGAGTTTTCTAAGAGATCCAATTACTTATACATACCTCTTTAAATAGATCTGTAACATATTTGAGAACGTTCAATCTCATTTGATATATCCTACATTTTTCTCACAAAATGCTCTGTCCTGAGCTATATTAAACACCTTATAACAGGTGTATGTATAACTAAAGACCCTAAAATGTCAAGTTTACATTTTTAAAAAATGCATAGAGAACATAACATTTTGGAAAACCTATTTGAGTACTCACTTCTCAGATACTATAATATATAGGTTTTGTTTCAGACTGTAAAATGTTTAATCTTCATAACTGGTCACTTTCAGATCTGAACCACACTTAAAATTTTTTTCCGAGCTTTGACTGCTATTAGGCTAAAGAAAGAAATGAAGTTTTCCAACTGAAACCGGTCCATGGGTCTCCCAATAAACAATCCTTACATATTCAATGCAGATATCAAATTTCCATGCCACAAAATAGAATCACATCAGAACTACAGGAAATAAACTCTTATTATAATACATTATGCTTAACATTAAGGTGCTATTATTCATCATGCCCTACATCTTTTGGTCTTTACCAAGTGGGCATCATGTCTGGAAACCACACCCTACCAAGATGCTTGGATACTTCCCAGTGGATCTGCTCCAAACTATATTTTTGGTCAGGAATTAGTACTTCTTCCATAATAGATAACTGAGACAGGCGGCCACCACACATCTTCACAAACTCAACAAAGGCACTACATGAGACTTCACATTCCCCTAGTCCAATAGCTGACAAATTTTTACAACGTTCTGCAATGCGAATTAACTCTTCATCAAGTGGCCGTAATCCATTAGCACATACTACTAGTTCAACTAGTCTCGGGCATGTCATTCCCACACGGCCAAGCACGTCTTTGCTTACTGATCTCCCAAAGTAAAGATGGGTGGCAGGTATTTCATACCGAAAGAATGGATCAAATTCCTCTTCATATAAAAAAAAATACATCACTAAGTTCACTTTTGGTGAATGTCTGATGAAAGCATCCCAGCTGCTTTTCTGAATAGTATGGAAGTGTGTCTGTCCAGGATTCTCACTGACTACATCAATGCGCAAATGTTCTAATCGGACATGTTTTTCAGAAGATAAAGCAAGCAGCAATTCATCACTTAACAAGTGGTAATTCAGAGCCAGTTCACGTAAGCCATGACATTGGTCAGCCACACAAAGGATACCTTGAAAGAAAAAAACCTAATTATTTACAAATTTTTGTACAAGTTCATCATCTGTTCAAAAAATTTAATCAGGTACATGTCTCACAAAAGTTTACCATATTTCCCTATCATAAAGCTATACAATTTAAAACTTGGTTATATGGTTAAACTAGCAGAAAGTCAGAAACATTTGAGACCAATTCTAAATCTGATGCCTTAAAAGACACAAAGCTCATTTAACAATTAGATAATAAATTAATAAATATAACTGACCCTTGAACAACATCGGGGTTAGGGGTACTGACCCTGTACAGTTAAAAATCTATACATAATTGACTCTTCAAACATTTAATATTTAATAGCCTACCACTGACCTGATGCCTTACTGATAACACAATTAATACAGATTTTGTATGCTATATATATTCTGTGCTACATTTTCACAATGAAGTTAGAGAAAAAAATACCAAGAAAATCATGAGAGGAAATATAGAGTAGAAGTCTATTTACTGAAAAAAAATCCATGTGTATATGGATCCACAAAGTTCAAACTCATGTTGTTTAAGGGCTAACTGTATGTTAATATTCCATAACTAAGGTTTGCCCCAGTAATGCATGGACAGTCACATTCTTTAAAAAAATGATTACTAACACCAAACTTACAGGTTAAGCCAAGAAAAATTATATGATCATTGCTACAGAGGCCAAAGCACATTTTTTGAAATTGAAAACTTAATCCTAATTTAAAAGAAAAAAAAGGTAAAGCCATATAAAAGAACCTATGTGACTAAATAAAACATGTGACAAATTTTTAAAAAAGATTTCTAACAAGTGAGCAACAAAGAGTTTTAACTGTTAATAGTGTATAATAAACATCAAATTTCTAAGGAAAGAATACCAAGATAGCACTAGATAAATGAGTCAAAAATAACCAATTCACATTAATGGGAATATTAAATATAACTAACATATTCTAATATATTCAGAAAGCAGTTCCATAAATGGTTCCCTATACTTGGGGCACTATGCTTCAGAACTGCTGTAAACCCCTATCAGCAGCAAATCTTACCAAAGGTCAGTATCTGATCTCTGAAATGGCCTGGTATAAAAATTCTACCTCAAACAGATTAGCCTATACTACCTGATAAATGTAGAGAAGATGTAAAGAAACCATTTCTTTCTTGTGCTTAGAAACAAGGACAGGAACAAAACATACATTATAATATCTACCATTAATTGTACAAGTATGATATGTCAGGTACTAAGTATGTTATCCCACAAATACTCAAAAAAATCTAGAAAAAAATAATCTTTCTATTTTGAAGTTGATGCAGCTTAAAGATAGCAAAGCTGGAATTCAAACACAGACTGAGTGACTCTTAAGTTCATGTGGTTAACTACTACTTGAGAAGTGCCAAGACAGGGAGGCACCAATAAGCCAAAGCTTAATAGCAGTGGCTATTCTATAGGCAATAGAATCAATGAAAAGATAAACTGAATCACCGAATCACCAGTATAAGAGTCACCAAAAAGGGAATAAAAGACATCTGTGCTGGAGCACTTGGGTGGCTCCGTTAAGTGTCCGACTCCTGGCTTCAGTTCAAGTCATTATCTCAGGGTTGTGGGGATCGAGCCCCACACTGGGCTCCGTGCTCAGTGCAGAGTCTGCTTGTCCCTCTCCCCTCTGCTCCTCCCCCTACCCTGCCCGCACTGCTCCCCCCCGACTCACAAATAAAATCTAAAAAAAAAAAAAAAAAAAGACATCTGTGCTTCACTATTCAGCCACTGAAAAGTTTCTGTTCTCCATAAGGTATTTACATACTTTGAAATAAACCTCATTACCCAAGGTATTCTGATTGGTCTCTGTTCTTTACAATCTCATAAAGCCTGATATAAAAAGAAAACAAATACACGGGGAATGGTAACTAAAGATGCAAATAAAGTGAAATATCATAACTATTAAAGCAGTTGCGGCAGGCATAATTCTAAAAATGGTCCCCAAGATTCCACAACCTAATCCCTGGAACCTGTAAATGTGGTAAGATACCACTCCCACAATTATGTTAAGTTATATAGCACAGTTGGTTTCAGTAAGATTGTCCAAGTGGCTCTAACTGAATCACATGAGCCCTTCGAAAGCTGAGTTTTCTCTGGCTAGTTGCAGAAAAGAAGTCCAACTCAGAGCTGCTCTGGCTAAGCAGAAAAGCTAGCTGAGCAATGCTTATAGCCCTGACCTACAGAACTGTGACACTACTCAGTGTTGGTTTAACCTGCTGAATTTGTAGTTGTTAGTTATGCAGCAATAGCGAACTAACTCAGTTAAACAGTTACTATGATTCAGCAATTCCACTCCTAGGTATATACTCAAAATAAATTAAGCCACATGTTCACACAAAATCTTATGTATCAATTTTCAGAGCAGTGTTGTTCATAATAGTCAAAAAGTGGAAACCCAACTATCCATCAAATGAAAAATAAGCGTGGTATATATCCATACAATGGAATATTATTTGGCAATAAAAAGAAATGAAACACTGATATATGCTACAACAAGTAAAGAAATTCATTATTGGTGGTATTATAAATTCACACAATTCATTTAGAAGAAAAAATGACAAAGCATAAAAAGGATCTGGACCCTCTGACCTACTTCTTCCACTTAATCATCTGTCCTATGGAAGAAATTATTGGAAGCAAACTGCTATGCCAAAATAGTTCACTTTTTAAATCAGCAAAAATATAGAAAAAAAGTATCCAGCCTTTTATAAAAAGAATTATAAGGCAAATGTTGGCTTATCAACAATATAGAATACTAAGTAATTAAATGTTGATTAGTTTGGCTGATACTTAATGAACGTTTTAATGTCAAGCACTGGTGCTAGGACGGTAAAATACAACATAAATAAGACATCCTTATCCTAATAGAAGGCAGCAGATAATGAAACAAAATTGCTCTCAGAGTCATAACAAGGGAATTAAGGAAGGTTTCCTAGAACCAATACAGTGAGACAAAAAGAATTAGAAGGACCACGTTAGGGCAAAAGGTGAGGGAGAAGAAAAGTGAATAGTATTTCCTATGTGAACAAACACCCAGACATGGAAGAAAACACAAGCCTTCTAAGAACTGAAGGGAGCTCAACGGACAGCAATGCAAGTAAGGTAGCATCTTAATGGATGAAGCCCACAGACAGGCAAGGGCTACATTATATGGGACTTTGTCAGTCCCAAAGGAGTTGGGATCTTCTCTAAAAAGCATAGTGAAAAGTTTTAAAGAAAACTAGAGAAAAAAATCAGACTTGTATTTTAGAAAGATTACTCTGCCTGTAGCATGGAAATCACATTAGAAAAGGGCAGGCTGCAAGTTAAGAAATCAATTTAAGGGATCCCTGGGTGGCGCAGCGGTTTGGCGCCTGCCTTTGGCCCAAGGCGCGATCCTGGAGACCCGGGATCGAATCCCACATCGGGCTCCCGGTGCATGGAGCCTGCTTCTCCCTCTGCCTATGTCTCTGCCTCTCTCTCTTTCTCTCTCTGTGACTATCATAAATAAATAAAAATTTAAAAAAAATATTTAAAAAAAAAAAAAAAGAAATCAATTTAAGAGGGTACTGCACAGGGGCGCCTGGGTTGCTCAGTCGGTTAAGCGTCCAACTTCTGGTTTCAGCTCAGGTCACGATCTCAGGGTCGTGAGACTAAGGCACGCATCAGGCTTCTTCTGAGCAAGGAGAGAACATGAGCATGGGTGGGGTGGGGTGGGGAGGAACAGAGGAAGAGGGATAAGCAAGTCACTAGTGTTGAATGGTGCTAGAAATCAACCAAGTACACAGTTATAAAGGACTATATGAAATGGGAAAAAAGTTTGATAAAATAATGCAGTAAAGAAAGAAAATAGCCCTTAATTTCAGCTTAGAGAAAGAAGAGTCCCAATATGCAAAATATATATAGAAAATATGCAAATATGTTAAATTTTAAATTGAAATCCTCTATGGTTATACTCTTAAATTTAAAAGTATTGCAAGTATTCTCTTTCATTTCCCTTCCCTTCCTGAACAACTTGGTCCAAAAGCCATTAGGTAAAACCACCCAAGTTTATACCTACTATTAGAATTGATGTGTATATTTAATAAAAGTAAATGAACAGGAGATGTACCAAGATAAAGAGAAAAACAAACTCACATTCTCACAGAGAAACCATAGACCCAAAGGCTCTCCCTATAGTTTGTTGAAGTGTTATAAGTCATGTTCAGAGTGCTATGGAAACAACACACTAAAATTTAAACCAAAGAGGAGGAGGAAATAAGGACAAAAATCAGACCATCTGAGATGAATTCTGAAGGCTGGCCTGGAGTTAGCTAGATTAAGAAGTAGAGGGAAAAATGGTATTCCACGAAGTACAGTGTACTAACCACATGCACAGGTTCAAAGAACCATAGTTATGTAGGACTCCGTAAAAGCCACACATGAATGAGTGGCAAACAAGATTAAAAATATAGGTGGAGGTCAAGATACAAAGGACCTTGTATACTATACAAAGCTATGAAACGTGGACCTCGCTCTCACAGCAAACCTATACAGTAGATAGAAACTATGACCAAGGTCATACTGAAGTAACTGCCAAAAGTCCATTGTTAAGTTCTATTTTATTTAGATTATCACTTTCAGTAATAATCTAGAAGTGGCAGAGGCAGTTAGGGAAATACTGCAATAGACCTAACCATTCCCAACACCAAGACCCTTCATGTACAACACATGGACAACAAATAATCTCCAAGAGAAAATAATTTTCTTGGCAGAAGGCTAGGCTTTAGTTATGGCAAGATGGTGGGAACTATTCTGTAAAGGGATCAAGGATTTAACATTGTGTCTTAAAAACAGGTTACCCAAATAACAGCCTGGGAGGAACTTCAGTAGCAAGAGGATGTGTCAGAAGTAAAGCATCAGAGAGTAGTAATACCAAGTACAGTTTATACTCACTTTACAATATGAACCATTTGGAATTTGAATGATCTCAAACTGAATAATGTAGTAATGCTTAGAAAATTCTATACAAGAGAATTTGGAAAGAGCTTTCACAATGCTATTCCCCATTCAATGGGCTCTCGACTCCAAAATTCAACTTAGGAAAAGGGTTATCTTGCAAAATGTAAAAAGTGGCAACTATAGCACAACTCTCCACCCACTACACAATGAGAAGAAAAACAATTAAGAAATCACTCTGATTCAAAACCAACCCTGCTGGCTCAACTACAATTAAAGAAAATTCCATCTTACCTGATGGGGCACCTCAGACAATACTTTTTTTTTTTTTTTAATTTATCCATTTTCTCGCACAGTTTGGACACAAGTTGCCAAGTAAGTGTAGAAAATAAGTTGAAAGTAAATGTCTAGGCTAGGAATGCTACAGAATTTATGTTATTATATTATGACATTAAAAATATGTTTATGCAAAAAAGATGAAGTAATCATATTAATCTAACCCATCTGCAAGGTTAATCATTACAGTTTTTTATTTAACTTTAATTTAATCAATACATTTTACTAACAAGTTATCTGGCAGAAAGCAAAACATACCTGCTGGAGAGACGTGAGGACAGCTGCTCATTTTCAGCAGCTTGAGTGTATCGCTGTTGTTGGCTACTAGTACTTTGAGGGATGGATCATCTACTGGGGTATCATCTATCTTAAGCGAGGACAAGGATTTGGAGTTTACAAACACTACCGTCAGGGCAGAAATAAAGTGAGACTGAAAAGCAAAAAAAATTAAAACAGCTGCAATTTTCACAAATGAGAATTAGGTATATTCATTTAATTCACAAATAGTTCAGCTGAACCTTAATGATATATTTCATAACTGTTTTAGGGGTAGCATCCTTTCACCCTGTTGTTGGGGATATGGTAATGGGGATATGGTAAAAAAGAGAGGTGACTGTTTGCTATCTTTGAGGAAAATCTTTTTACCTGTAGGAGAAAGAAGGGATTTCAGGCCTCAGGGTGAGTATCTCTAAATCACAACAATCACTGGTAAATAAAAAGACTAATTACCAAATCCAGAATGAGAATACCTCTCATATTTCACACCACCTTATCTGGAAACCCTACTCCACCTGTTTTATAACTGCATTCTTTTTTGGTCTGACAGTAATAACCATTAAAATAGTAATAATTATTAGCATAATCACTAAAAATTGAAATAAAATTCAACTCAGAAGCTAGGAAAGACTCATTTGGAATATAAAAACTCACAGAAAGTTTAAGTAAGGAAAATCGTACCTAAATAAAATTTCAAGTTTAAAACTCCTTTAAACATGTTAAATTATCTACAATATTTTTAAGCCATTTTATTCTAATGTATTTTTCCATAAATGTACCAATTCTTATTATTCCATTTATTATATATATGTAATTATCTATTGGACACAGAATCTGACCTAAAGGAACCCCCTACAGGAAAGAGGGATTAAAAGCATGGTCAGAATATATAACTTGGAATCAGCTAAAACCAATAGACAAAGAATCCAGGAATAAGAAAGAGAGGTCAACATATGCTCCAACACCTTCCTCTATATAACCAATCTCACGCTCCATTTAGCTTTATAAATTCACTACAGCAGTTAAAAGGAATGAAGGCAGGCTAACAGCCAAGAAAGTACAATGAAACATCACTTTTGTGGTTACATTCCCTAACTTTCTTTTCCCCTACAATTAAATAACTGGTTAACTAAATTTTGACCTATTTCAAATGTTAATATCTTTCTCCTAATATTTTCATGTCAAACTGAATTCTATCTTGTACAGTTACATGTTATTAGTATATTCATGACTGTATCACTGAGTTTTTACATTTCCCTCAGATTTCTCTCTGTCAAATACACTTCTTACATGTTCTCTTCAATTTTCCCAGGATTTCCAACATAGAGCAACATCCTATTTCAATCTTCTACAAGAGTCAAAATCAGGAGGGTGGGGAGACAATATAAGCAACTTAGACCCATTTAATAAGGAAGGAAGCATCCTATTAGATGCACCATAGTTCTCAAAGAAAAAACTACTACATATAAGTATAGTACTAGTATCAGACATATATAGTGATCCTGCTGAGTAATAAGAAAAAAGGAAATTTAGCATACCTTTTAATATGGTATGTTTCACACTATATAATATATACATATATATGTGTGTGTGTGTATATATATATATATATATATATATGCACTATGGAAACTATTAACTATAATACGCACATAGAAAATCAATTCAGAACATATCATTTCCTGTATGAAGCTTGAACAAGGTGCTACCATACTATGTAAATCAGACTTAATCAGAATCTCCTGGACTGCTCATAGGAGGAGGAAATTTGGTATAGGGAAAGTAATCCAAAATCTCAAAGTTTCTTACATGATTTTCATGCATGTTGAGAGCCACAGTGCTCTGACTTACATACTTAGAACCTTAAAATGTTTAAAGAGTATCTTACCCATCTCCCTTAACTTACATGAGAAAAACACTTTATCTCAAATGTATGCAAAGAACCTTTTTTAAAAAAATCAGTTAAGGGATGTCTGGGTGGCTCAACTGGCTGAGCATCCAACTCTTGGTTTTGGCTCAGGTCATGATCTTAAAGTTTTGAGATCAAGCCCCCTATCAGGCTCAGTGCTAGGCATGGACCTGATTGGGATTCTCTCTCTCATCTCCCTCTGCCCACCCCCCCCCATGCCCAGTCCCAGCCATTCACGCTTGCACTCTCTCCTCTCTCTCAAAAAAAAACCCAAAACCCAAACCAAAAACAAAAACAATTAAGACTTTGTAATCAACTAGTGATACATTTGTTACTGATACTCAATTCCATTACCACCTGGGTTATAGCACACAATCAATTTAGCAATATTTTTTCCTGAATCATTCTAGTAAATTAAACTATGAGGTGCGTTAAAGGGGTATCTATGTTTTAGTTTGCAGCTTCCTCTGAAAAAAATACTTTCAAATTATTGTTGGATGCTAACCTACCCAGTATTAGCTAATATACTCAAGGAGCCTTTATCAATTGCTTTCTTAAAAAGCATACTTGGGGCACCTGGCTGGCTCAGTCAGTTGGTCCTCTGACTCTTGATTTGGGCTCAGGTCATGATCTTGGGGTTGTGAGATTGAGTTCCATATTGGGATTCGAGCTCGGTGGGGAGTCTGCTTAAGATTCTCTCCCTCTCCTCACCTCTCCTCTCCCAGCCCCTCCTTCCCAATCTCACATGCTCTCTCTCTCTTAAATACATTTTTATTTATTTATTTTGTATTTTTTAAGCTTTTTTTAATTTATTCATGAGACAGAAAGAGAGAGAGAGAGAGGCAGAGACACAGCCAAAGGGAGAAGCAGGCTCTATGCAGGGAGCCTGATGTGGCACTTGATCCCAGGACTCCAGGATCACGCCCTGAACTGAAGGCAGATGCTTTAACTGCTGAGCCACCCAGGCAGGCATCCTGAAATAAATAAATTTTTAAAAGTGCACTTGTTTTTCCATTTTAAGAGACAAGTTATTAGAGACATCTAATTACATGCAGGATTATGTTAGAACATATATATGAATATAAATAGTTTACTCTTCACCAAAAACAATTCTCTTTAAATAAAATCTATTAATTAATCCAAGCTGCACTAACTTTGCGCAAGAATAAATCTTTACACATTTACCAGAAGATTTTATAAGTAAGCTATACCTGTTCTCACTACTGGCACTGTCTACTTTTCTTTGATTATAATTTCACCAATCTGCTCTGAAAGTCCAAAGAAGGGGCTGCTATATATCTTTTTTTCTAATATGCTTGTTTCTCCATTTTACTTAGGCTCTTTTAGTATATCCTGCTGGACCCTCTGCAAATTCATTCACTCTTTAACTTTTCCCATCAAGAAGCCCAAGGTGATCAGAAAAATGAAAAGCTTTTTTTAAAAATCCTATTGCCTAACATTCTAAATAGTAAATCGATTTCCATCACGCATACTATTTTTCTTACATTCCCACTGTCACTACAAGAAATAGGTAAGGTTTCATTCAATTTCTCAGTAACCACCAATAACACAAAACCAGCAGATACCTTTGGTAAATCCATAAAGCTTGGCCGAGCCGTTGAAATAAGTCCAAGTGTTTTTAAAGAGCAATTTACCAGTTGTGATAATATATCACAAGCTGCTTCAGCTGATTCTTTGCTGCTGTCCACCTAAGGAAAGAACACATGACATAGCCATACATATACTTGTATTTACATTTACTCTGTGTAATCTTAATTTTACAAAAGAAAGTTATTAGTTTATTGTGTTACAAAGACAATTTATTCTTTCAATCATACAAACTCACATACAACGTCAGCCTTTTCTGAATCTCCCTGAAAGTTTTAAGTTCAATTGTCAAGACTTAATTTTGTTATTATACAATATACACTTAATGTTGAAAGGACTTGGTTTTTAAGCTGATTTATTCAGAACTGACTATATAATATACAATCTAAAGGATCACATGAATTTATAATCTTTGAAAAATAATTATATATTTGGTAGTGGATCTGATTCTACATGCAAATACAGTGTCTATCGTACACAGGTGTCAAGGCACCAGAAAGTGGATGAGTATTATTATTCAGAATGTTCAAATTAATCACAATTTGGGATTCATCATTAATGATATTAACAGAAAGATGAATGTGAAGTAAAAAGGAAGACATCCAACCAGTCAAGAATGAAAATATGAACCAAATGAGTAGTTGCTCCCACACACTCTTGTGCATAAACATTTCCTGGGGGAAGAGTAATATGGCCAAAAACTCCTGTAGGATGAGATGGAGCTCTTCTATCAAAAAGAAAGTTGTTCCTTGGGCTAAAAGCATCTTAAAAGTAGTATTACTTTAATTTTCAAGACTGATGTGCATTACCTTAACCCAAAAATGTTCTAAAGAGCTGGTTGTAAAACTGATGGACTGTTTCAGGGCTGTTTATAATACTTTCCTTTGGCTAAGTATTTCTATACAAGTGGTTCCTAATGTGTGCTCCCTAGACCAGCAGCATTAACATCACCTGGGAACCAATTAGAAATGCAAATTCTCACGCCCAACCCAGATCATCACAATCAGAAACTCTAGGGGTGGCCACAGCAATTTTTGTCTCAACAAGCACTCCACGTCTTTATGATGCACATAAAGTTTGAGAACCACTGATGTATACTCATAATGGACTAAAAGCCTGTTTGGCCTAGTTAGTGATAAACTGAACACAAATATACTCAGGACAACTCAGGAGAATCTTATGCTATGGTTCTTTTTGTAAATCAGAAATAATTTCCTGAGGGAAATAAAAAATCCCTAACAAAAATGTTTAAACTTATAGGACAAATGGTTTTGTGAGGGTTATATAAGTTGGAAACAGCTGAATTGGATCACATGGCTAAAAGACTAAAACACTGACCCAGCCAATGCCCTGGACGGAATTGGTCTTTAGACCTTTGAGATGAAAGTATTATGCTCCTCTTTTTCTCAGATTTACCATTAGAATACTCTTAAGACAACTCAAAGATGTCTAAAACCAAAGGAAGGCTCTTGAAGTTTCTTCATGGGGATGTGAGGAGATAGACAACACTTGATGAGTTCCTGGATTTGTTTCTCTCACCATTCCCTCACTCTTACCCTCAGTTAGGGTTGCCAGATAATATACAAGACATCCATTTAAATAAGTATTATGTCCCAAATAATGAATGGGCATATTTATACTAAAAGTTATTTGCTGATGCTCTAAAATTAAAATTGAAATTCAACTTATAAGCATCTCTATTCTTATTTGCTAACCTAGTAATCTACTCTCAGTGGCCTAAGTACCTTTGTGCATTTTTCTGGGAAAATGGCCATAATGCACTCAACCATTCCCATTACCAGCTCTCCTCTTCTTCAGACACAAATGGAAGAATAAGCAGGTAATCTTTATCTAAGAAGGAATAACACTCTTGAGAGCAGTCAAGACTAGTTTTGGCAAAGAACTGTGGGTTAAGAACCATTGCTTTATCTAGATTTAATCTGACCTATTAATAACTGCTACCTATGGGTAATCAGATATTCCATGTGTTAGTTTTCAACAACTGTCAGGTATGTTAAAAGGTTTAGTAAACACATCTACATTCCATTATTCATCCTCAAAAAAAAATACTGTAAGCCTCTGTACTCCTATAAACCACTGTGATTCCTTAAACTATTCTAGACAGCTCAAAAAGCCACTCCCACTTCATTTCTCTCACCACTGAATGAATTCTAATATGTCCCTTCTGGCAATGAAAAGAAACAAACAGTTCTCTTTGGCATTCTTCCACATACCTTTTCCTATTTCTAAAATATATTCATCTAGATATTTTACATATTTCTGTGTCTCCTTTTTCTTTTAAGACCCCATGTCATAATGCCAGCAATAAGCAGAATTCAGTCCCTATTAAACAGTAATAGCAATTAAGTTTTAGTCAATCATAATCTCCACATTTTATATTATTGTATATTTCTTTTACCTTAAACTTTTCAACGTGACTGATAGCTTAGGTAAATATTTTATGCTTATTAGTTGCTTCTGTTCTTTTAAAAACTTATCAATAATTGCAATTCAGTGGAGTAATTTAGCTCAAATATAATTATTTCTGACATCTTCTAATGCATGTAGTAATTCTCAATCTTTAAGAACTTTCTCTAAAAAGGCACTATTTTATTTTTATTTGACAGAGAGAAAGAGAGAAAGAGAGCGAGCGAGCGGGAGCTGGGAGAGCTACATAGGGAGAGGAAGAAGCAGGCTCCCCAGGAGCAGGGAGCCTGATATGGGATCATGGGATCATGACCTGAGCCAAAGGCTGATGCCCAACCAACTGAGCCACCCAGGCACCCCCTAAAAAGGCACTATTTTAAAGACGTGAAAAAACATATTGGTTTAGCACAAAAAAAGCCAAAACACGATATGCTTTATTTTTTAAAAGAAGGATTTAAAGTATTACCTTGAAGCTGACATATTGCAGATGGTTTGAATGTCTTTTAATAATCTGTTTGATCAGCTCCGGATGTGTAGCTTTCAAGTAAGATGTAGCTGGTTGATTCAGTTCAAATTCAAAACATCTCCACAAGTCAGGCATGTGAAATACCTGGTTCCAGTTGCGGCAAACTTGTGAAGCATGAGCCCGGTCAAGAAGAGGCAAATACTTAAATACTTGGAGAATAATGTCCTGAAGGAGATTACCCCAATCACAAGTCTGAGAATGCTCATTTGTAGTCCTCAGTTTCTTAGATTTCTCTGTACCTTCTTCTGATGAATTATGGTCACTATCTCTTCCTCCTCGTTTCATCCTATTCAGAGAAATGCATCATTTTTTCATACTTCACTTTTAAATAAAAATAAATCCAATGCTCATTCTGTCACTGAGATGCATATATACATGTTTATAAATAGAAACACAAACATAGGGATCCCTGGGTGGTGCAGTGGTTTGGCGCCTGCCTTTGGCCCAGGGCACGATCCTGGAGACCGGGGATCGAATCCCACATCGGGCTCCCGGTGCATGGAGCCTGCTTCTCCCTCTGCCTGTGTCTCTGCCCGCCCCCCCATCATAAAAAAAAAAAAACAAAAAAAAAAAAAACATGAAGAACTGGACCAGTAATTCAAAAATATCAGAACAAAATATAATGAAAAAATGCCAGTGGAGACCAACTGTTATTTTACAAATTCTATACAGGTGTTTTTAAACATTTGTGTTTATACTCTACTACTGGGGGGAAGGGGAAGTATTATGATTTTGAAACTAAACCAAGAATTGTATTTCAAAACTGCTGTCAACTAAAAGGAATATAAAAAAGAACCTACAGTGACACTTTTCAAAGGTTTCTTAAAAGTCATCTACGGATACCTGCTGTTTTTGAGTTTTTGAATTCAAAGAGACCACAGTCCCAAGAACCTCTAGAAAGTACATGAATTAAGCAGCCAACAGATCTTTCCACACTCAATAGTCTGTGATATGTATTATTGACAGACCCAATCTCTGCTTAAAAAAGCAAATTCAGGGGATCCCTGGGTGGCTTAGCGGTTTGGCGCCTGCCTTTGGCCCAGGCGTGATCCTGGAGACCCGGGATCGAGTCCCGTGTAGGGCTCCCTGCATGGAGCCTGCTTCTCCCTCTGCCTGGGTCTCTGCCTCTCTCTCTCTCTCTCTCTAGGTCTATCATGAATAAATAAATCTTAAAAAAAAAAAAAAAAAAAAAAAAAAAAGGCAAATTCATCCCTACCATACGTTGTTTGGTCCAGAATGTGGTTTCTTCTTCCAAAACATCAGTTACTATTGCATGTTTACCCTAAATTGTATTTCTGAACTAGCTATATTTATCCTGTGTAAATGTATTATCTTCATTCCAAATGTTTCTTTGAAATGGTCTTTTTGTTGCAAAATAGTAGCATCCTTAAGAGAATGGGCTCTGGAATCAAGCTTCCTGGGTTTGAACTGTGGCTCTACCTCTTACTGGTTACATGGCCTTGAAAAATTACTTGACCATCAGTTTGCAAAGTGGGAATAATAACACACAGGGTTCTTGTGAGGAATTAAATAGTATTAGGGCTTGAAAGGAGACAGAGAATGTTTAATTCAGGTAGAGGCAAGCAGTCCAGCATTAAAGATATTAAAGTGTACGATGCAAAAATGAAGTTATGTGTGAGAAAGTGCAAGAACACATGCTTATGTATGAGAAACACACTGGAAGTAGATTCACCACGTTAATATAGCTATAATAAGTGAGTGGGATTATACTGTATTATATTATATTAATGATATAATTGTGGGATAAAAGTGGTGGCATTACAGGAGAACCTTGTTTTGCCAATATTATATGCATTTATTTTAATGACAATGAATTACACTGTAATCAGATAAAAGGCCTTGCTTCGATTTGCTGTTTGGAAAAATAAGTACTGCAGGCTCTAAACTAAAGGGGGTAACTGCAGACCAATCAGTAGTATCCCTATTTAGTTTAGGCCTGCAACACTTTTATCTCTAGAGAACAGTTCTGGCAGGATAGTGGTTTCGATTTGGAGTCACAGCTTTTGAAAAGGATGGCTTGTGGCTCTAACTCCCTTCTTCTGGTTTTTGGGTATGCTATCCAGCAGCTAGCAAAACTTGTGAAAGACAATTGAGGGCTGGAAGGAAACAACGGCAAATGCCCCTGGCCTTCATGCTATTAAAATATGCCCAGGAGATCCTAGCACATGTGCAATGAATGAACTACATTTGTCACTGATCCTACAACTATGTGAGTTTAAGTAATGATGAGCAAGGGGAAAGGAAAGAGTAAATAGAATGACAAGTGATGGCAAGAGGGTAGTTTTATGGAAGATTAAAACTTACGTGTGAATCTGAGAATACATTTAATGTTTAGAGAAAAGGTAGTATAATCTACAATATAATCTTTTATGTAAAAAAAAAAAACCCTCTTCTAGTCATAATGTCCCACTAGAAGTTGAAGTAACACTGTCATTATGACCCATTTTTTGCCTTTATCTTATTCTGAAGACTTAATTTTAGCATAGAAAATTTGGGTCAAAGAACAAGAGTCTGCTACCCAGCAAACTCACAATTTGGCTTATAATTCCTTGTCTATTTAAAACTACTCATAGATCTTTATAATTTCTAATCCTTATACAATGTTGATTGCCGGTTTCTGGAGAAAATCCTCTATAACTATAATTATTCAACTTACAAATGTAATGATTCATTTTTAGAATACAGGGGTATATAAACAAAAATAAAATGACACCTTATTTACACAATTAGCAACAATAAGTACTTTCCCTTTGTCAATTACAGCCTGTTTTAAATAAAGTATGTTTCAATACCTTTCCAAGTTGAGGGAAGAAAAAAGGTGACATGTTAAAAAAGATGTATGCAACATTGAGGAATAATATCTCTTGGTCTAGATATAAGACTATATGATCACCAAAATATATTTTAAGCACTTACTAGCTTATGAATAGCTGAACAAAAGTCTACAATTTGTTATAAGTGATAGGACTGTAATGTGTCAGAATTAAGTATTTTTATCAATAGGAAAAAAATGCAAGGCCTAATGCTGATAAAAAATGGTCTCTGTATTATCCTCATTCGTGCATGAAAATAAAAGAACACTGTAGGCACCTAATAAAAATTTAAAATATAAACTTTTTCCAAGATGATCTCATTTACTCATGCAAAAATTCATATTGCTTCCAAAAGTATTAAATCTATCCACACATGAAGCGTTGCTGTATAGAAAGTTAAACAATGCAGAGCATCCACCAGTCTGCAAAAAATCTACATCAATGGAGTATTTATCTCCTACTTTTAGTCAAAGTGAAAACCTCTCTTCCATTTGAAGAGGAGGAGTGCAGAGGAGGAAGCTGAACAATAAATGTCAATGGGACTTTGCAGAGTACCAAAACTAGGCCTCTTCAGGGCTCCAGCAGTTCCACTTCAAACTGCAACTTCTCCAGGCCCCCAAAAATTGATGCAACCTAGGCCCCAAGAGCATTTGGTGAGGGACTGATATTACCATGATGCACCAAAGGAGGAAAAAAAGGGGGAAAAACCCACTAATGAGGAAAAACTACAGACTACTTGAGCAGCACAGGAGTTACTGAACTAACTCTGAAATTTCCACACACTCTGTAAGAAACAATGAATCTGTTCATCAGAAGACCTGTGGGTGACACTCAGCTGTGTGTCTACCATTGTATCACGCACTTGTAAGTAAAGTGCGCCATGCAGTCATTTTAAAAGCCCACTTGTTGTGGGGGGATCCCTGGGTGGCTCAGCGGTTAAGCGCCTGCCTCCGGCCCAGGGCGTTGATCCTGGAGACCCGGGATCGAGTCCCGCATCAGGCTCCCTGCATGGAGCCTGCTTCTCCCTCTGCCTCTATCTCTCATGAATAAATAAAATCTTTAGTAAATAATAATCTTAAAAAGTCCACTTGTACTGAGCACTAAAAATCCTGTTTTGGCATCACACCTCCTTTCTATTTGTGTTCTGCTTTGCCTAAAATCAAACTTAATTCGCATTCTTCCGCTGGAATACAAAAACCAAAACAAAACAACAGTGGGAAGAGATCAATTCTCAGACCTAGATGGGAGGAAGAGTGTGGTGGTGAAAATGTGTGTCGCGGTCATTTGCAGAAAACTCAAAGAGTGGATGGCGTCTTTATCAACATTTCAAAAGAGGGGGGAAAAAAGACTCTGTAATGAAAATCTCTGGGCCACTGGATTGGATATCATCAGCAACAAAATAATGGTAATCTAACCTCTCAGCTTGGAGACACGACGGATCATTTAATATTAGCTGCTTCCTGCTCCCTGCCTGCAGCTCCACCGGAAACGCCGCCCTACGCCTCAGGCAGGCGCGAAGCTGCTCCTCCAAGTTGACCAAGTTTTCCACTTGGGCTACCGGGCCGCGGCGGCCCCTCCTCCCGCGCCACCTCCACGGGCGGGCTCTCCCCGACAGCCGTCACGCGCTCTGCCCCGGGCAGCCTGTGGTGACAGCTTAACGCCGCTCGAGCGCAGCCTACGCCGGGGAGAGCCTGGAGCGCAGCGCGCGAGCTCCGCGGCGCCCGTCACAAGCCCCGCCAAGGTAACAGATCCGGGCGCCGGCGGCCCCGAGCCCGCCCGCACACGCACCACGCACCACGCCTTGTTGACAGGTTTTGAAGCGGGCGCGGCGGGGAAACGCCCCCAGCGGGCTCCAAGGTCTGGGCGCCGCGCCCCGCCCGCCCGCCCGCCGCTCCCAAGGGGCGCCCGGCACCCGCCCCCGCCGCGCCGCCACCCGGGGGCTCTGGCCCTGCCCCTCGGCTGTTACCTGCTGCCGGAGGCGGCTTCCCCCACACACCACCCCGGGCTCCGGGGAAGGCGGCGGCGGCGGCGGCGGCGGCGGCCGGGCCCGCGGCTCTCACATGAGGCCCCCCGGGAGCCCCGCTTCGCGCTCCCGCCGCCGCGGCCCCCCGCGCTCCGCCCGCATCCGAGGCTCTGGTCCCGCGGCGGCCGCCAACGCGGCTCCACCTTCGCGGCTCCGGCTGCCCCCCGAAGAAGCCTCCTTCCTCAGTCCCGCGCGGGCCGCTGTCCCCCTTCCAGGACCCTTCGCCGCCGCGAGAGGCTCCTTCACGAGCCGCGGCCGCCGCGGCCCAGACACCGACTCCAAGATGGCGCCCGGCGCGCCTCCCTCCGAGGGGGCGGGCGCGTGTCCGCCGGGGGCGCGCGCGGCGGGCGAGGGAGGCGGGAGTGGGCCGCGCCCGCCGGGAGCGCGCACTAGCGGTGCCGCGGCGGGCTCGGTCTCCTGGTTCCGGGAGAGTCGGCCGCCTTCCTGCCCCGTACGCGACGGCTGTATGCTTGGGGGGGCCGTTGTGAAGACAGCTTTCCTTCTGAAGCTGCAGCTAGCTGCAGGGCTCCACGACTGTGCTGTGGCAACCGAAGAGTTCGGGGAGGTGGAGCAGGAAGGGAGGAAGGAGGGCGTGTCCCCGAGCCTACGCCGCTCAGCCGCTGATTGGCTGCAGGAAGCGGGACTGTAGCTGCTGCGGGCGGAGCCGCCTCCCGCCGCCGCGGGGTCCGGGGGGCCGGGCCTGCGCCGCGGCCCCCTGGGCTGGGGACGGGCTCCGCACGGGGACTGCAGCCCCGGAACAGCGGGCGCTTCTAAAGCCTGCGAGGCGTTAGGGAAGAACGGTGGCCGCGGGTTACTGATTTTTATATTTAAAATGTTTGTATTTTCCAGTTTCTCTCCAGTTTTTGTCATCAGAGTTAGTACTTTTTAAACACCATCTTTATAAATTATGTAGACTCCTGAAATTGACCGACAGCTTTCTGAAACACAGTAAGAAAGTATAAAAAAGGAGGGAGTCTGGGTGGCTCGGTGGTTGAGCATCTGCCTGTGGCTCAAGGCGTGATCCCGGGGTCCAGGGATCCGGTACCACACAGGGCGCCTGCTTCTCCCTCTGCCTCGGTGTCTCTCGTGAGTAAATAAATAAAATCTTAAAAAAAAAAAAAAAGTATAAAGGAGTAGATGGCTATTTAAAATATAACCTACAGGTAAAGCCTTTTGTCCATTCAGAAGTCTTTGTGTCTAAGTGCCACCCTACTTAGCTTGTTTTAAAAGTTTGGATTTTTAGATAGTGGGTTTTCTTAAAGTTAGAAATGTCCTTGGGTATCAAATCGTAACTTGTATCATCCACCATCCCTCCCACCTCCCTCCAAAATACAAAGAAAGTTATTTTTCACCCAAAGAGGTCTTCTCAACGATCTGACCCATGTATAAGAACCTGGAAGCAGTGGTGCCCAGAGGATGCTCTACTCTTCTTTTGCTCCCCAGAAACCCAGCTAGGAGGGGCCCTTGGGTGGCTCAGTTGGTTGAGGGTCTGCCTCCTGCTCAGGTCATGACTTGGGGTCCTGAGATCAAGTCCCACATGGGGCTCCCTGCTCAGCTGAGAGCCAGCTTCTCCTCCTCTCTTGTGCTCTCTCTCACTATCTCCCTCTTTTCTAAAATAAATAAAATCTGAAAGAGAAAGGAAAGAAAGAAAGAAAGAAAGAAAGAAAGAAAGAAAGAAAGAAAAGAAAGAAAAGAAAAGAAAAGAAAGAGAAGAAAAAAGAAAAAGAGAAATCAAGCTAGGAAGCCATGTGTAAAATTACATTAGGATTCAGTGTGGGAAAACACCAGAATTCTTTGTTGACAGTCTGGCTATCTGATCATCAGGTCAAGCAGAACAAAGTCTCTCCCAACATAATAATGTGGATGTACCTGAACTGCAACATTTTTTAGGTTACTTAACAACTGAATGATGAAGGACAATAGAAAGTTTAAAACAGGCAATGATAATTATTAGAGAAAGAAAAACATAAGTCAAATCAGGCCCACTTATTTAAAGCTAGGTTAAACATATAAATGATGGGTAAAGCACATTAAACCAAATCAGCAAACCTACCTAGTATGTATTATATCACATTAAAACTCCCACCCTCTAAATGTAGTCTCTTAAAATCCTCATCACAGTCTGTTCTTCCCCTAAAGAAGACAAGGATCTTGACACATTTTACCTATTGAATATTCCCTCTCCTTCCCTATTATGGTTTTTTAATGACTTTATTTCACCTTTTTGTAACTTGTAGTTTAAAACTTATGAGCCTGTGTCTCTGCCTCTCTCTCTCTCTCCCTCTGTGTGTCTCATGAATAAACAAAATCTTAAAAAAAATAGAATTGCCAATCCATGTGATAATAAAAAGCAAACCAGCATTTTTCAGCATTATTATTGTTTTTAATAATAAAACACACAGTGTACCCCCTCTACCCAGGACAAGCTATCCCCACCACCACTCCCACCTTGGCACTCCACTAGTTAAGATAGATTAGGTTAGGGTGCCTAGGTGGCTCAAACGTTTAAGCATCTGCCTTCAACTCAGGTCAGGATCCCAGGGTGTTGGGTTTGGGTCCTGCATCCGGCTCCCTGCTCATCCAGGAGTCTGCTCCTCCCTCTCCCTCTGCCCCTCCCACCTGCTTGTGTGTGTGCCCGCGCACTCTCTTTCTCTCATCCTCTCAAATAAATAAAATCTTTTTTTTTTTTTAAGATAGATTAGGTTATGTTGAGTAGTTCCTAAAACACCATTATAATTATTCCTTTCACAGTTGTTAGGAATAATGTTCCTCAATTGGGGTTTGTCACTTATTTTTGTGATTAGACTGAAGGTATGATTGTTTGAGAGAAAGATCACAAATGTATAAAGTACCATTCTCATCACATCATATCAAAGTTACCTGTTGTCAAAAGAATTTAATCCCTCTTGATGTTTTAACATTGATCAGGGTGAGGTTAAGTTGCTCCACTACAAAATTACTTTTTTTCTCCTCGATTTCCATACTGTACTGTTTGGAAGGAAATCACTAAGCACAAATCATACTAAAGGGTTGGGGAATTATCATCCATCTCTGTCAGGGAGAGGAATGTCTGCATAAATTATTGGGAGTTATTCTGCATGAGAGGATTGCCTCCCTATCTCTTAATTTTCATATCTTTATTGCTCTGTACTGAAATATTTGTAATTTCCTCAGACATGTCTTCTGAGTCACTAATTTTTTCTTCAGAGCTGTATAGTTTCTCTTAAGCTAATTGCATGCTATATTTTTTATTTCTAAAAGTTACACTTGGTTCTTTTCATATCTGCTTGATCTTTCTTGATGTTCTTTTATTTTTAATTATTCCCCTTTTTCTTTAATCATTTTAATCACATGAAGTAATTGGGGATCTAATCTTGATTTAGTAAATATTTGTTCATGGTGGGCTGTTATTTTGTGATTTTGAATTGTGAGTTCATCTTCTGTGAACCTGTAGGTGTAGGAATCCTGTACAACCTGGTTGAGGGTGTGTCACACTAGAGAGGTTTTTTTGGTGTTTGCTTCTGCTAAGTGCTGCATTGTATTAGTCTGGAACAACTTTTTATAATAATTTCTTGACTCCTGGGTTCTTGGGTCAAGGCAGTATAAATTCAGACAATAACCTGTGTGGGGGCAGGCCCATGGTTATGAATTCTTAGAAAGACTTTTTTTCCCCTAACCTAGAGCTCAAGCTAAAATAGGTTAGTTGATCATCTTCCTGTGGCCTACCTAGGCCAGCTATCCCTTTTGAAAAGGAAGATCTTCAAAACTTCTGTCTTATGCAGGAATCTGGGTTACGATTTCTCTTGCAAACTTCTCTCCCATCCCCACATAAGCCACGGTCTCTTCAGATAGTTTTTCTCATCAATCCCTCCATTTTTTTTTAAATTTTTATTTATTTATGATAGTCCCAGAGAGAGAGAGAGAGAGAGGCGCAGAGACATAGGCAGAGGGAGAAGCAGGCTCCATGCACCGGGAGCCCAATGTGGGATTCGATCCTGGGTCTCCAGGATCGCGCCCTGGGCCAAAGGCAGGCGCCAAACCGCTGCGCCACCCAGGGATCCCTCTCCATTTTGGTCTTAGGGACTGTATGCTCACTCCTCTCAATTCATTTTCTATGTCTTTTAACTACCCTTTCATATTTTTCTCTTATTGTTTCTCTTTGCTACATTACCTATTATCTTCTAACTCAGTGATTTTCTCTTTGCCTCTAATCTAGAGTTTATACCAATTATAAACTGAAATTGAAAATCCCATTCACTAAATTTCTCATTTGTTTTTCAGATTCATCTAGTTTTAAAATAATTATTCCTTGGGAGTGCCTGGGTCACTTAATCAGTTAAGCGTCTGATTCTTGATTTTGGCTCATGTCATAATCTCAGGGTCCTGACACTGAGCCTTGCATCAGGCTTTATGCTGGGTGTGGAGTCTGTTTAAGATTCTCTCTCTCTTTCTCTCTCTCTCTCTCAGGCAGGCCAGGTTGCTCAGCAGTTTAGCACTGCCTTCAGCCCAGGATGTGATCCTGGAGACCCGGGATGGAGTCCCATGATGTCGGGCTCCCTGCATGGAGCCTGCTTCTCTCTCTGCCTGTGTCTCTGCCTCCTTCTCTCTGCCTCTCTCTCTTTCTCTCTTGAATAAATAAAATTTAATAAAAAGATTCTCTCTCTCTTCTCCCTCTGCCCCTCCCACTTCACCTCCCTTTCTAAAATAAATAAATCAGTTAATAATAATTGTTCCTTATTGGGGCACCTGGGTGGCTCAGCTAGTTGGGCATCTGCCTTCAGCTTAGGTCATGATCCTAGAATCAAGCCCTGCATGGGACTCCCTGCTCAGCAGGGAGTCTGCTTCTCCCTCTCCCCACTTGGGCTTCCTCTCAAATAAATAAATCAATTTAAAAAAAATTGTTCCTTATGATTTTCACAAACATATATATGATTAATATATAATAACTATGTGGGAAGTGTATATAGAATTGAAAATAAACGAATGACTAGAAAGCTGCAGTAATAATTCTAATAGCTAATGAAATAAGAGTTCAAATGATATAAGGGGAAAATGCATTCATAAAATTAATAGTACTAATAAAAGCAATAGAGCAAGTGATGTCATCATCATGAACATATGTACACCTCACAATGTGCAAACTGCGTAAAGGAACAACTGACAGGACTGCAGTAAGGATATTAATTAACAACTGTAGTTGAAGATTTTAACATATCCACCTCAGAAATTGATGCATCAAGCAGACAAAATATAAGCAGAATCACTATAGATCTGAACAACAAAAATAGTAACTTTAAGCTCTTGGATATATGGAATTTTATACTACAAAAAGTTATTGTAGAGAAACAAAACATCTAGGAAACAGACCATCTATTAAGCCACCAAAGAGAGTAAAACCCAAAGATTCAATATCATACAGACTATGTTTGTTAGCCACAATGTAATGAAGTTAGAAATGAATTATGAAAGAGCTAAAAATGCCATTTGTTTAAAAACGAAATAAAATAATAACGTGAGTTAGAAAGTAAATCATAACAGATTAAGAAATGCTTTTCTTGCATGATAACTAAAATACCACATATACTAATATTCAATTATATATATATCAGTAGAAAAACATCTATACCAACACTTAGAGTGAAATTCATAGTTTTAAATATAGCTACCCAGAAACAAGTACAAATAACAAAAGCAAAGTATTTAAATCAATAAGTCAGAAAAATGACAAAATATCCAGAAAAAATATATAATGGTAGTTAACAAGGTGTCCACCACATATTCCCCCCCTTTCCCACAGGCAGATGCGGCTCCTCACATTAGATATGAGATCCAATTGCCTTGCCCTTGAACCTGGGCTTGCCTTGGCGATTTGCTTCAGAAGTGATGTTTACAACTTCAGAGGCTAGGTCATAAGAAGCCTTACAGCTTTCATTTGGATCACTTGGAACTCTTACCCTTTGGGTAGTATGTCTGAAGGATCAATCACCATATTATGAAAAGACAAAGCCTCATGGAGCAATGCTCAGTGAATCCATGGGATCTTGAGAGGTAATAATATACTGTTTCATTTGTTTGCTTTAAAGATTTTATTTATTTATTCATGAGAGACACACAGAGAGAGGCAGAGACATAGGCAGAGGGAGAAGCAGGCTCCCTGTGGAGAACCTGATGTGGGACTTCATCCTAGGACCCCAGGATCATGACAGGAGCCAAAAGCAGATGCTCAACCACTGAACCACCCAAGTGCCCCTAATATACTGTTTTAATCCATTAAGTATTGAGTGGTCTTACATACCGTAGTAGACAATTGGAAGAGATTTAATAATAAAGACAAGGGCAGGAATCAATAAAATAGGAAAAATAAATAGAGAAGATTATAAAAACAGAAGCTGGTTCAAATAACAGTGAATAAGGTAGATACAACTCTGGTCAGATTGATTAAGGAAAAAAAGTTGTAAATTAACAAAACAGAATTTTTGAAAGGGGAAACAAACACAGTCACTGCAGATATTTAAAATTATAAAAGTATGATATAATTATTGACTAATAAAATCGAAAGTCTAATAAATTCCTAGAAAAATATAAAATGGCAAAGTTGGCAAGAAGTAGAGAATTTGAATAAATCAGTAGGCTTTGTAATAATTACCATCAAAGCCCTCTCCTTCCAAGTAACGCTAGGCCCAAACAGAATTACATGTGATCCCTTTCCAAGAAAGAGTTAACCCTTTCTGATGCAAGTTATTGGAGACAAAGATGAAGAGGAAAGGCTGCCTAGGTCATTTCATGAAGCTGAGTATAATCACAATTCCCAAACCAAATATGGAAAAGAAAACTATAGTCCCACTTGCCTTATGAAAATACATGCAGAGATTCTAAAAGAAATGTTAGTTAATCAAATTCAGCAATGTACTATGAAAACCAAAAAATAAATAAAAATTTAAAAATTAAAATAAACAAATAAAACAAAAAATAAAAGTGGCAATAACACTCACTCCAGAGGCCCTTTGTCCTTTTTCCTTTTCCACAGCATGTATCACCAGCTAGCATATTATATATTGTATGTCTATTGTTTAATGTCTGCCTTTTTTTTTAATGTCTGCCTTTCTGACTAAAATATAAGAACTAGGAAAATATGAATCTTAGTCTGTTTTGTTCACAGATCCTAGGCTCCTATAACAGTTCCTGGCTGAGTAAATGTTTCTTTGAAGAATGAAAGAACAGGATAGGACAGGGCTTATGTTTATATTACACGGTGCGGTGCCTGGACTTGAGCCATATTGTGACTAAAATAATCTATCCTGGGGAATAGATGGGTAGTTAGATCCTTGCAGAGGTGGGGAGAATCTTAAGAGATGAGTAGGACTGTAATAAGAGGACAGTGAGTTTGCTCATGGACCAGAGGACCCAAATTATACAAAGAACTCTATGCTTTTATGACTCATCAATTTCACAAGTCCCACAAGGGGTGGAAAAGCTTTTCACAGAAAACAGGAAATCTGTTAATAGAACACAGGAGAAACTGTAGTGTAGCTACTGTAGTCCTCCTCCTCCTTCTTCTCCATCTCCTCTTTCTCTTCTTCCTCTTCCTTCTCCTTCTCCTCCTCATCCTCCTCTTCTTCTTTCTCCTTTCTTCATTCTCCTTCTTTTCCTCTCCTTCTTTTTCTCCTCCACTGTTTACAAGAAGGTTGATGGTTGCAAAGAAGGAAAAGAACAATGTCTCTGTCCTTCTATAGCTGTCTAAAGGGATAACATCTACCAGTGATATTAGAAAACACTTGTATAACTGTGTATGAATAAGTTCCTAATAATAATATTAACACTGTATACAAAGGTACTGAGGGCATGACAGAGAATAGGAATAGACAGAGCGAGCTTTTCATTGATCAAGGTCAGTTTTGAATAAAATCTTAAAGAAAGTAATGGAGTTTGAGAGAAAAGAGGCAAGCAATCTATCCAAATGGCAAGAAAAGCACAATGCCAGGCATTAGTAAGATCACAGAATCATATTTAGAGAATTATCACGTTCAACTCCCATCCAGCGCTGAAGTCTGTTAGGGCATCTGTAGTGGACACCTATTCAACTGTCTATGTAGCATCTCTTTGGGGGGAAAGCCCTTCCCCTCTACTTGTTTTTAGTAGTAGCTTCCTGCAGCTCATGAACCTGGCCCCTACCCATCCAGTCTGAGACATTCTCTCCCTAAGGAATTTTGAATTAATTCTGAAGGAAAGAAAGTAGTCACTTCCTTGAGTGCTTGAATTTGTAACATATAGACCCAAGAGTAGTAGGTGGTCATTTTCTGCAACATGGTCTGGAAAGCAATAAAAGGTGTTCTGAAGTGAGACGGAAGAAAAAAATAGATGCAGAGAGGATCTAGAAGATAGACACAGCCAGAGCCCCCAGCCCTGGTTCTACTCTGTTCCCAAAGCCTAGAGGTATTCCAGAGATTGCATTTGCTGTATTTGTGTTTTGTTTGCTAAAGTTATTTTCAATTTGTTTTATTTGCTTGTAACCAAAACTCCTTACCACTGTAAACTTGACCTGGAAGGGCTCCTCCTTGGGCCTCAAATGATGTTTCCTTTTAACTGAAAGGTGATGATGGGGATTTCGTCTCACTGTGTCCTATGTCCAGGGAGTGGGAGTGGGACATGGCCTCCTCTCCACAGCTGCCATGAACCAAGAGTGATTCTGGCTATTATACAGGGATGGGGGAAGCTGGGGATAGGGTTACCTTGGATGGAGTCCCAGGAAAATGAGTGGGCATGATGACTGCCTCTTTTTCCTGCCATACAAGTTGACAAAGAAAAAAGATGCATGCAGTTCTTCTGTGAGGGGCAAGTAAGTCTCTAAAGATCCTGGTTCTGCCTTTACTGGATATGCAAGTTTGGACAAAGTACTTAAATTTTTTGTGCTTCAGTGTCTTCATCTGTAGAGTGAGAATGATAATATTACTTAATGTATATAAAGCATAGAGGTCAGTTGCAGGCATACAGTAAATGGTCAGGAAATGTTACCCACATCTCTATTACTATTACTGGTTCTAGGTGAGGACATTCACTCTTCCATGGTGTCTTGCTTCAGCAACACCACTCCTCTGGGTTATTCTGGTGTATACCTCCATCTCTGCCAGATTAGCCTAATTAAACCATTTCATTTTTCCCTATTTTAACCTTATCTAGGGTGAGATTGTAAGCTTCTCAAAGGAAAAAAGTAATAAGAACCTTGTATTTCAAGCTACGTTCTGTCTCATTTCCTGCATTATCTTCCTAAATCATGTCTTTGTGTAAAAAAATCCAAAGATAAGTGACAAAATCCAAATTGTTGAGAATGAGATTCTAGGCCAGTACTGTTTATTAGAAATATATACAAAATCCAAAGATAGGTGACAAAATCCAAACTGTTAAGAACGAGATTCTAGGTCAGTAGTGCTTATTAGAAATATATAAAAGTCACATATGTAATTTAAAATTTTCTAGAAGCTACATTAAAAAAAAAAACTTAAAGGCAGGGTCACATGGGTGGTTCAGTCAGTTAAGCATCTGACTTGATTTCAGTGCAGGTCATGATCTCAGGGTTGTGAGATTGAGCCCCCTTCATTCCGGCGTGGTGCCTGCTTAAGATTCTCTCTCCTTCTGCCTCTGACTTCCCCACCCCTTCGCCTCGCAGTCTTTCTTAAAAAAAATAAATAAATAAATAAAAAGAAGGGATCCCTGGGTGGCGCAGCGGTTTAGCACCTGCCTTTGGCTTAGGGCGCGATCCTGGAGATCCGGGATTGAATCCCATGTCGGGCTCCCGGTGCATGGAGCCTGCTTCTCCCTCTGCCTATGTCTCTGCCTCTCTCTCTGTGTGACTATCATAAATAAATAAAAATTTAAAAAGTAAAATTGATTTTAATAATATATTTTATTTAACCCAGTATATCCCAACTATTATATTTCAATACATAAGCAATTCAAAAAATAATTTAGATATGTTCAGTGGTCTTTTAGTACTATCGATGCAAAATGCTGGGCTACTTACTTAACTCCTGTGAGACTCAGTTGACTCAACTGCAAAAGGAAAAGAGTTATGCCTAGGTTTATGGGAGATGAAAGTGTGATAATGCACATGAAGCCCATTACTTTTGTTTCCTACTGCTGCTGTAACAAATTACCACAGACTGGGCAGCCTGGGTGGCTCAGGGGTTTAGCACCACCTTCAGCCCAGGGCCTGGTCCTGGAGACCGGGATCGAGTTCCACGTCAGGCTCCCTGAATGAAGCATGGAACCTGCTTCTCCCTCTGCCTGTGTCTCTGCACCTCCCTTTCTCTGTGTCTCTCATGAATAAATAAAATCTAAAAAAAAAAAAAAAAAGAAAGAAAGAAAGAAAGAAATTACCACAGACTTAGTGGTTTAAAACAATATAGTTTATTCACGTACATAGTTCTGGAGGTCAGAAGTCCAGATGGGGTAAAATCAAAGTGTTGGTAGAGCTGCATTCCTTCTAGAGGCTCTAGCAGAGAATATGTTTCCTTACCTGTTCAGCTTCTATTGACTGCTTTCTGGACCCTTCCTCCATCTTCAAAGCCAAACACTGTAGAGTCTTCCAGTGTCTATCTCTGAGCTCTGTTGCTGTCACCTCCTCTCCTTCTCTGGCTCTGATCTTCTTGCCTCTTTTTTCCCATATTAGGAATCTTGTGATTACATTAAGTCTGCTGGATTAATCCAGGAAAATCTCCCCATCTTGAGGTCTATACCCCTAATCTCATCTGCAAACTCTCTTTTGCCACATAAAGCAACATATTCACACCTCCTGGGGATTAGGATGTGGGCATTTTTTTGAGGGCTGGTGTTCTCTTACCATACCCTCTGCTGTGCATTATTGGCTACTGTAAGCTCTCAACAAATATTTAGAAAATCTTGTTTTAAAGATTTTTATTTATTTACTTGAGAGAGAGAGAGAGAGAGGGTGAGCAAGAGCTGGGGAAGGGACGGAGGGGGAGAAGCAGACTCCCTTCTGAGCATGGAGCCTGACTTGGGGCTCCTCTGGGGCTCCATGCAGGGCTCCACCCTAGGACCTCGAGATCATAACCTGAGCTGAAGCCAGAGGCTTAACTGACTGAGCCACCCAGGGGCCCCAACAAATGTTATTAGAAAACCTTGATTATAGTTCTTAACATTATTCACACATTTTTGTATGTGTCTGTGATTGTCTTATTCTTAGCACTTGGCACAGCCCATTGCACGTATTTACTCACCAAGCCATGTTCATCAGGTACCTTGTGTGTGTAAATCATGGTTATTAAGCAGTTGGGAACACAGTTCCCACCCTCATGAGCAAGTACTGTCAACTGTAGATATAGAATGGCACTCAAATATTTATTAATAAAGCAAAGAGCTTTCTTTCACTTCAGAGGAACACATTATTGCTTCAGTTTTTACCATACTTTCTCCCTGGGATGCTCTTTCCTACTTTTGCTTAGCAAAATTTATCCATTCTTCAAGACGAGGCTCAGTACCTGCACTTTACTTTTTTGAGGAAATGGACACTGTAAGTTGTAACTGAACATGTTTCCTGCCTTGCATTTTGTTAGCTAAGAAATTTATCTCAAAGGTGATGGCCTGTTTTTTAGTAACTATGTAAGACTGTATGGTTACTTACTGGACCCTCATCTCTAACCTTGGATTTCTTTTTGTAATTTTTCTTCACTGTAACTCCCTTCAGTATTTATCTTTTTAGTCTCTGAATTTCTTCTAAGCTACCTTACATCATTTGTGAAATGAAGGCATCATTTAAGACAGTCATTTAAAATGTATTGTTCTCCTGTGTGTCGGTCGTCAGGTCCTCTGGGAAGCAGACGCCAAGATAAAGTTAGAGTGCAGGAAGTCTGTCTGGGGTAGTGCCTAGTGACGGGGCAGTAGGCAGGGAGGGCCATCAGACTGTGGTGCGGGTTTGGCATCTATGAAAGGGTAGGGAGAAGGAAGGTCGAGAAGGAAAAGCCTCTGACTGCGGCACTGCTCTAAGTCTCGGCTGGCCCCAGAGTCCTGGTGCAGATTGCCCAGAAAGGAGTGTTTCTTTGGGCAGAAATGACCAGGTCCTAGCACTCTACACCCCTGCATTGGCTGGGGCTTCCCTGAGGAGAGTGCGGCTTTGGACCACATGCAGTAGCAGATCTCACAGGTCTGCAGTCGGACGCTGTCATCTAACTGCCTCCTTGCCGTGGGGGCTCCGTGCAAGGAGATCCAAGCTGAGCACCTCCGGATCTAGCCTGAACGCTTCTTGAGGCAAATACTATTATGTTCCCTTTGTAACCTTGCCCATACTGCAAGTGTCGTTACTTCTTTTCATTGAAACTGTTGAAGTAATAGCAAAGCATGATGTGGTAGAAAGAGCTTGGGTTTTACAGACAAAAAGAACTGGATTTACATCTTAGGTTTCTTTTTTAAAGATTTTTTTAATTATTTTTTATTTTAGAGAAAGAGCAAGCAGGAGGAGCAGAGGGAGAAAGAATCTCAAGCCGACTCCACGAGCTGAGCAAGGAAACTGACATGGGGCTTGATCTCACGACCCTGAGATCATGACCTAAGCTGAAACCGAAGAGTCAGAAGCTTAACTGACTGAGCTACTCAAGCGCCCTATATCTCAGGTTTTTTTTTTTTTTTTTTTTTTTTTTTTTTTTTTTTTTTTTTTTTTCAACCAAATCTGGATTAGATTAGCTGGAATCCAGTGTGGGTCATTTAACTTCTCTAAACCTTTGAAGTCATGAGATTAATAATGTTATATCCTTCAGAATTTCTGGATTAAATGAAAGGCCTATAGTTTGGTGTCTGCCATTTAGAAGGTGTTGAATAGATGTTCTTTTCTCCTTTACTGTTTTAAATACCACTTTATTGTGGGATGAAGTGTTTGTGTAAATACTTTCTATTTGACTTAGATTAAGTATTATTGTTTCTAAGACATTATGCCTGAAGATGGGTAAGTGGCTTACTCAGGTCCACATAGCCAAAACAGAGGCAGAGGCAGAGGCAGAGGCAGGACTCAAACCCAAGCCTGCCGGTTTCAATTTCAGCACTCTTCAGGTACTGCTGGCAGTTCTCAGGAAAATGAGCTGTCATGTCCCATTAGACAACCACCATCAGAAACATGTGTGACTACATACAGGTGGAATTCTTTGACAAGAGGGGGAGAGACGTCAGGGCTGAAAGACTGAAAAAGGCGAATCAACAGCTGTTATGAAAAGAGAACAGAGAATATTGCATATTTTTCAAATAAGCATATTGATAGGATATGGAGTTTTTAGAACTAAACAGTCTGGCCAGAAAACTGCTTAAAACGGCTCTTCCTAGGCCTGAAAGTATTAAGGGGTAAGCAGGTTTTTTTTTTCCACATTCCCTACCACCTGCTATTGTGATTCTTTTGTTTCTTACCTTTTTCTTTGTACACAGTATGCTTGAGACAAATCCATGCAAAGTCATTTCCCTTCTGTGCTTTGTCATAACTTATTCCCAAAGTAATGTTCTCTGGTTTTGAGATGCTTGAGATATGACTAAAAATACCTTCCTCATAAATAATGGTTAAGTTTTATCCTTTTGGTTTCTAGAATATTAACATGAGATGGCTCACGTTCTAGTCAAGCATCTCGTTAGTTTCCAGTTTCCTTTTATTTCCTTCACAGTTTACAGACTGGAACTGACCAATTTGCCAGCAAAGTTAATGGATACAAAACGGTACTTTCCAGTTCTCGAGTATCCATGATATCTCGCCTGTGCATTCTGAAGGCTGGTCTCATTCCTATGGTTTCTGAGTTTAAATCCACTCTAATTACAATGGCCTTATTGCCTTCTCTTCTCCAGTCTCCTGGACATACCTAGGAACAGCTTCCATCTCTGCACCTACTTTGGGTTTTCTGGAAACATTTAAAACCAGTTCTGAGGGATGTCTGGGTGGCTCAGTGGTTGAGTGTCTGCCTTTGACCCAGGGCGTGATCCTGGAGTTCCTGGATCAGGTCCCACATCAGGCTCCCTGCATGGAGCCTGCTTCTCTCTCTGCCTGTCTCTGCCTTTCTCTCTCTGTCTCTCATGAATAAATAAATACAATCTTTAAAAAATAAATAAATAAAACCGGTCCTGAGCCTGTGCCTTCAGACTTCTCCCACAGGCCTAAGCACAGGACTGGATTACTCTCATAGCTGCGGGCTGGAAAAGGGGATGCAGAGCTTCCTAAGCAGGTCCTGAGAGGAAGACCCTGGGGCTGAGTGAGTGGCTATCCCTTCCTGATGCCTGTTGCCCAACATCCTTACAGCAGAATGACATGGTCTAAAGAAAAAGACTGTGTTGCCCTGAAGGTTCTAGAATCTCTTTTGGACACAGGCAGCATGTCCCAACTGGCACTTTCAGGATATAAACACGTGAATGCCTTCAGAATGCTTTTCTGCTTAAGGCATCAAATTTCTTCATGAAATATGAATCCAAGGTTCTAGAGGCTGAAATTGGATTAGTTCTGCCTGCAACCCTTTCACCTTTGCTTGAGACCACCAGTAGTGGCCTCAAGGAAAACTGATTGCTCCTGCTTTCAAACACATTGGGGCAGTTACATATTGCTTGCGACTCTGGGGCACCATCCTTTCAACACAAATGGAGTTTGCATAATCTCTGATGGCTCGGATGTATCTTATTCCAGAGTCCTTCCTTGCTCAGGAAGCCCATGTGCTTGCACACACAATAGATCCACAAACTGCATCATGAAGAGATCAGTCCTTGTGATTTTTTTTTTTTTTTTGCAGTTAAGTCTCCAACATCAGGAGTTAAGACTACTCAGACTGTTCTATTACATTTCAGACTTTTCTATTTACATATTTTTTCCTAATGCCTTTTTCTGTCCCTTGAAATACTTCTTATTCTTCAAGATGGAGCTCAAATGGCTTCTTAGCTACTTCTCTCCCAAGAACAACAACAACAAAAAATAAAAACCATAACAACAATCTTTCCGAAGTCCTGAAGCACAGGACTTGGGACATGTTTATGAAACTTATTAGAAGGTTCTCTGAATAGTTATCTGTGTTCAGATTTGCTCATTTTAAGTTTCTTCAAGGCAAACATTATACTGACAAATCGATTTATACATTTCCAACAGTGGGAAGGTAGAATAAAACTGGTCTGACTCATGATGACTTATAAATCAAGAATTTGTCAATTTCATGTGTTAACTGTAAAAAAGATCTACAGAAACATACTGCAGTCTGAAAAACAAAGAAAAAAAAAAAAGCCCAGCAATTTTGTTGATTACTTTATACAAGTTCAAAAAGGTGCTGGTTAGTAAGAAGGGAGTTTGTTCAGTTTCCTAAATGTTTTTTTGTCTGTCTTTGGCGTATATCTGTTTATTTACACACATATTTATATGTTCTTTCTATTGTTTAAGATTCCAAAATGTACTTCATCACTACTCTTCTTTTCCCTAAGAGTTAGGAAAGTTACTATTGTGCTGTATTAGTGAATTTCTTTATGGAAAATTGGATAGATTTTTAGATCTTAAAGGTATTTAAATTGTTTCTGAAAGCAATACCTCACACAGTTGTTAGACTTTATCACTGTATAAAAATGTACAGTGGTTTATTGACATGTACATTCCAATATTGTTTACAGCTGCAAGATAATGAGGCACACTCAGTATTGCACTTCATTAAAATTTCAGGCTCAACTTAACCTAGAAGTTTAAATGAAACTGCATTTGTAATTTAGTAATTCTTATACAGGACAAACATTGATATCTTTATATACAGTGTGATACTTATTACATTTATATGCCAGTCCTAACACAATTTTTTTTTTTTTAAATAACAGTCTAGGAAATAAACCAGAATATTCCTCTTTTCCTCCTCACCTGTGATGCAATTATACAGGATTACAAAAAGGCAGTATACAATAAACAATGATTATTTTTTTTTCTTTTTTGCTTGAAAGCCAGCATCATTCTTAGTCCATGGGCATGGCAATTCTTTTATATCAATTATCTATAAATGTTCAATGTTTCACAGGCCAATGACGGTAATGGCCACATGCAAACACCTCACAAATTTGATGTCTTGGTTCAAAAGAAGATAAACCAAAATAATGGGGAAACTTTCCATAGCAAGAATTATGTACATGGTATTTGGCATCATTCTTGCACTGTGAATGGTTCATTTTCATGGGATGTAAAAATGGTCCCGTCCTTATCCTGAGCAGAGTTTAACTTTACCACATCCACTTGGGGGATGAAGGCAATTTTTTCTCTGTAGACAAAGGAATCTGAATGTTCTAAAAAGTGTGAGCATTTCTGCACACTCCACAACCCAGAGCAAATTCTTCCCCAGTGGGTGGATGAACAACATGGAGGGGACATTCAGTTCCTTCTAATTGTTTTCCTTTGGGACCTGTATAATTTTGAAAGATGCAAAAGAATATAATTAAAAGAAATACATACATACACACAAACCTAATGTAAATATAAATCACCAATACGTTATTCAAAGAAAGATGACACAAATATAAAATTTAATAGTTATTTTTTCTAATTATAAAAGTAAAAATGTTCACCATAAAAAATTCAACATACCAGGTATATATAACCAGATATATATAAGGGACAGAATCCCTTACCTACCACATTCTGTCCTATGACCAACAGATCTTATTTTATTAATGAATGAGATACATCATCCTGAAAGTTTAATTTTTTTTTAACTGAAGTACAGCTGACACACAATGCTGCATCAGTTCAGATTCCACAAAATCTACACATTATGCTATGCTCACCAGAAGTGTGGCTACCATCTGTCACCACACAAAGGTATTCCAATAACTCTATTCTCTATGCTGTACCTTTCACTGTGGTGACTTGACTTATTCCTTCCAGAACTAGAAGCTTGAACCTCCTACTCCCCCTTCATCCATTTTGTGCCCCCTATCCTGAACTATCAGTTTGTTCTCAGTATTTACGTGTCTGTTTTTGCTTTTTGTTTTGTTTTTAGATTCTACATATAAGTGTTTTAGATTCTACATATGTATAAACAATCATACAGAATTCTTTTTTTCTCGGACTTCATTCACTTAGCATAATACCCTCTAGGTCCATCCATGTTATCATAAATGGCAAGATCTCACTTTTTGTGGCTGCATAATATTCCACTGTGTGCGTGTATTCACCATATCTTCCTTATTCATTCATTTACTGATGGGACACTTGGGTTGCTTCCATACCTTGGCTATTGTAAATAATGCTACAATAAACACAGGGGTGCATATATCTTTTTGAATTAATGTTTTCATTTCCTTTGGGTAAATACCCATTAGTGGTATTACTGGATAATACAGTATTTCTATTTTTATTATTTTTTTAGTAAGCTCTACACCCAGCATGGAGTCTAACATGCGACTTGAACCTTGAGATCAAGACCTGAGATCAAGACCTGAGCTGAGATCAAGAGTCAGAGACTTAACTGACTGAGCCACCCAGACACCCCTGGTATTTCTATTCTTAATTTTTTGAGAACCTTCTATATTGTTTTCCACAGTGGCTACACCAGTCTGCATTCCCACCAATACTGTACGAGTGTTCCTTTTAGTCTACATCCTTGCCAACCTCTATTATTTCTTGGTTTTTTGATTCTAGCCATCCTGACTGGTGAGAGGTGATAACTCATTGTGGTTTTGATTTGCATTTCCCTGATGATGAGTGATGTTGAGCATTAGATATATCATTTTAAGGTAAAGAGCAATGAACGAAAATGGTCAGGAAAATCTGTCAGTTCAGTTGAACAGAAAATTATTCTGGATGAGAGAATATGGAGACTTCTGTATAGAATGTTTTTCTCCAAGTAAAACCAATTAAAGTGTAAATAAGCCATGTTACCCTTCTATCTTCTATGAAGAAACAGCATACACTGATGAATGGGAAGACTGATTTATTAGAGACTTATTTTTAAAAGTATCTGAAGGGAGATTAATAGAAAAATGAAAATCAGCTTAAATATATGAATGGTAAAATAGTATAAAATTTAACAATCTGAAAGAAGAGCTCCGGGGAAGATATAAACTTAATAATCAAATAGATGAGGCTCAACAATGGACATTAAGGAGGGCATGTGATGTAATGAACACTGGGTATTATATAAGAATGATGAATCACTGAACTTTACCTCTGAAACTAATAATGTGGTATATGTTAATTAATTGAATTTAAATAAAAAAATAGACAAAATAAGAATTAAAAAATGTATTAAAAACTGTACTTTTTCTCTTTTAAAAAAGACCTGTTACATTAATATGCTTCATGTCATGTGTTTCTTATCATTTAACGAGGATTTTTAGCTCCTTTATAAAGGAAGAGCTTTATTGTGTAGGGAATACTGGCTGGGCTTATACTTGAATGCAGAGTTCCTAACAGCAGAGGAAGGAATAAAGTATGCATTAGTTTCCTGCAGCTAGCAACCAAAACAATAAATGTAAATTTTACTCTGTTTAAGAGAAATGTATGAGATTGAATAGAATGAGCTTATCCAGATCAATGTCGAATGAGATCTTTTCTTTTTTTAGGATTAAAAACTCTTTAAGATTGTATTTATTTATTTATTCATTCATGAGAGACATAGAGAGAGAGGCAGAGACATAGGCACAGGGAGAAACAGGCTCCCTGTGGGGAGCCTGACACGGGACTTGATCCCGGGGATCCCAGGATCATGACCTGAGCCAAAGGTGACACTCAACCACTGAGCCACCCAGGTGACCCTACGTTTAAAAACTTCTGTGATCTAAAAATAGGAAAACAGGAGGGATAAAAGGCTAGTGTTTATGAAACTCTTAGCATGGCACAGTACATATACTCAGTAAAAGTTGTTTTACTACTACTGAACAACAACAAACAGTTGCCTCATATAGAGGAATAAAAATTAAGCTCCACAGAAGCATAAGACCAAGGCATGAGGGCAAGCATCAGAGAACAGATCATCTCAGAAGGAGAAGTCAACTGCTTGTTTCAGCTAGCAGACACAACGGCAGCAGTTAAAACTCAGAGAGGTAATTATTCCAGTTATAAATTATAAAGTATATTAGTATATTAACACTTCCCACTCCATATCACACTGTACACTGATCTTCTGTCTGCCCCCTGGTGGGTGGGGGAGAGTTGTCAGGAGGAGGGACATTCGACGACAGATCTAAAGCTCTAACTCAAGTGCATGACACCATCGACAATGGCTCCTGCAAATTGCAGTCTTGTTTTTTTCTGGGAGAAAACAAAGGGTCACTTATTCAACAAATATTTGCTTTGTTGGGAGGTAAAAATGAATAGTACATGGCCCCTAACTTGGAGTTCATAATCTAATCATGGTGATGAAAAATAATGATAGTAAAAGTAAAAACGAAACACACCTGCAGACGTTTGTATGCTTACTACTGTGGCCACTGTTCTAGTATTTCAACTTAATCTTCTCCCAGTCAGAGGCAGGAACTATTCTCCCCACTTTGCAGATAAGAAAACTGATGCAAAGTTAACAATCTTTGATTCCCTCATCTTTAAAATAGGCACAGCAATATTTAACTCACAGGGAGCTATGAAGGTTAAATATCCTGGCAGGACAGAAGGCAGTCAGCAAATATTTTAGAAAGTAATAGAGGAATTACCTACTTTAATTTCTTAATTTGGACTCTTGTCCTCATCTATATATTAAAAATTAGAATTAACGAGTTGACAATGGTTAGAGAATCACTCCTTCTGTCCTTCTAAGTAAAATGCATGGCTGTCTGCCCTGCTGATTTCACTGTGGGGTCTGCTTTAATTCTATTCCAGTTCTCTAAAGGAATGGACGAATTAGAGGAAAGTGAGAGGCTGGGAGGGCACGACTTGGTCTGAGTGTTATGATCTTAGAACAGATAACTGAACCTCTTGAGGCCTTAACTTCCCATCTGTGAAGGTGGGGTAACACCATCTACCTTGTAGTTGTAAAAACTTAGGTAAGAAAATACATGTGAAAATGCCCGGGATCGATGTCAGTTCCTTCCTTCTGCTGTCGAAATCCTTTCCTGCCTCATTCCTCTGGTTGACTGTTTCCAGGGTGAGGTCCCTCTGTTGGGCTGACCTGGGTGATCATGTAAATGAGCGAAGGGAGGCCTTGCCTTTGCAGGAGCCTCTCAGCAATGACTCCACCGCTGTGTTCTCCACAATACTAGCTAACCTCCTGATTACTTTAGTGTTGGGTTGTTGTCTTTGTTTCTGCACACAGAAGAAACTTTCTTTTATTAAGTAAAATATGGATTTTCCCTGACGACACAGCTTGCCTCCTTGATGACTTTCTCAACTAGAAGCTGCTTATCTCCTGCACTCCTCTGTGTTGTAAGAGGACACAATGTAAATGGGAACCAGGAAGCAAGACTGACTCTCCTGGTTCCCATTTACTTCCAGACCACTGACTTACAGCTTTTATCAGGAAAGTCTGTCTCCCTTGAAGCTACCTGATCCAGATGCTGCCCCCATCTCACTCTCTTCATTTGCGCAAACTCCAGAGGTACCAAGGCAGCGGATGTGGTGGAGGATACTGAGGGATGAGGAGGGACTGGAAGGATGTGTTTTTCTACACGTGTGCTATTGTGGCGGAGCGGGAGTAGGGCTTTGACAGTCGTACTGAGTCGGTTTTTCAATTTTTGGGGTGTGTGGTGGTTGTGGTGTTATTGGGAGGGGGGTATTGATAGTTGGGATGGTAGGTGAATGTGGTTTTTTTTTTTTTAGTAGGTGGACGCGGGGAGGGGTTTTTTTATAAGCGGAGTGTGTAGGTAAGTGTCCGTAATGGGACTTCACAGCGGGCTGGGGGGTCACTTGTGTTATTAGTTAGGGAGCGTAGGGCGTCTGTATGGGGCCTGTGGTGGAGGTTTGGCTAAGTGTTTCATTGGGGTGGTTGTAGGTGCTTTGTAAAAACTGTCCTTTCAAGTGCGCATACTGTTATTAAATGGGACTTTTACGGGTGGGGGCTTGGTTGTTGGAAGCAGCGTCTTCATTTCATGATCTGATATCTCACATGTATTAAAACTCCATTACCGCTTAATAAGTGTCGTTTTTTGATGGGGCATAGTTCTTAGTGTTTAACCACCCTCCTAAGTGATGTTGGTCTTGGTTACAATTTTTGGTATTTTTACATTGACAATTGACATCTTTTTTGCCTTTTCTTTTTTTGCTGTGATGTAGGGTGTTTTACCATTGAGTTTTGGGTGGGGTGTAGGGTGATGGGGTTGTATATTTATGTGTGGGGCACCCTGCTATTGGACGTGGGCTTGGGGGGGCAGGGCTGATGCTCTACGGTGTTTCTGGGGTGGTTGTGTGGGGGGGCCATGCGGGGTATTTGGTGTGTGGGGGTCTGGTTTGGTAGCGGTTGGGGTGGGGCTACAATTGGGATGTGATTAGAGCTGGGTTTTCTGAGAGGCGTTGGAAGGTGGTCAGACTCAGTGCATACGCACTCCAAGGACAAAGCAAGGGGTAAAACCACCATGCAGCGGTGAGCGCCCTTTGACGGGCAGTGGAGGTTGGGTGGCTTATGCGTTTTTTTCTCTGCCTGTCCGCAGTACTTTTATGCATGTATCCGGTTTTCGAGTGGATCTAAGCAGTGTCTTTCGGATGCTCACATCTTCACTGCAGGGTCAGCCAATGCTAGTGCTTTTCTCGGGGACCTGGTGTGGGTGAGGGGGCACTTGCGGAGCTCTTATCATTTTAAACTATTTTGGAACGGTTTTTGGGGAGATGTGATGGGGGTTTTCGGCTTTAGGCTCTTGGCCAACGGTAGTGCCTTTCAAGTGATCGTTTTCTTATGCTGTATGCGGTAGGCACGTTTCCTTCCCCAGGCAACTGTCTCCACTACAACTCCTAACCCCTCATCACTATGGTGATCTTTACATTTCACTCAGAATGTCAGAAGCTTGTAAGAGCCAAGCAATTCCCTCTGATTCTTTAGACTAGTTTGAACCAGATTTCTGCTACTTGGAACAGAGAACTCATGTGATCATTAAATTAAACTAGAAAGTATATACATCAAATCATGTTTAAAAATTATTAAGAGTATACCTGCAGGACGTGTGGTAGTTCTTCTTGGGATGTGTCATTCTTGAGAAATCATCATGAAAGCATTACAAAAATGTGTTGTTCCAAAACAGAAAAAGACGGCCACTGACACGATAGCGACTTTATATTCCAAAAAGTCTGTGCATGTTTGGACACTCTATAGCAAAAGAAAATACAAGACACAGATTTAGTGAGTGATTTCAATTACACTAAGGATAGTATATATTATATATATTATATAATCAGTGATTAATATTTTGGAGTATACATCATCTAAAATGCTGAAAAATTAGTCATATATTTAAAAAATTAATGAATTAAATGTGTGGTTTGCCAAAGGTTAGGAGTTTTGAACAACCTAGAATTTGAATATTGCATTGATTCCTGGTGAATTGTTCGTGTATATTAATTAAGGGCTTACT